TGTTACTAAGAGACCACCTTCCTGTTAATTGTCTGCACTGTATATTTATCCTTAGACGAATGGTACTGGTCTATTCTTTTTGTGCGGATCAAATCAGTATCGCAGTGGCTCGCCATAAAATTTCTCTCCAGTTCACGCAGTGAAACAATATCAATAAAATACCATCGAAACAAATTTCAGTCGTCCTAAATACAATTATAGGCACCGTTCAACTTGTTTCTTAATATTTCTCGACCTGCTGGTATATCATACAAGTAGAAAAAGATAGACGTCCAATCCATACATCGTTTTTATTAAGCACTTCTAACATCTGATCGGAGAGAAGAGGCACTCTTTAGACAAACTTCAGCTTCCCTGTTATAACCTCGTTCTTCCACTGAACCGGCTTTACCCTTCCTTGCGAAAGTATCCACTAAAGATAGGAAACAAATTTCTTCCAAGTACAAATTGTATCGGCTGGGGTACTAGGTACTCGTCTACCACTTGAAATTGCGTGGGAAAAATAAATTTTAGCTAATAATAACGTGATGACTCAAGGCATAGCAATGTTAAGAGCAAACAAATAGCACGTAAATAGGCAAGGTGAATCGTTTGATTATCTCATCGGAAACAGGAAATAAAATTAGGCCTCTTTTATTTGACAATTCAAACCACAAACATTAGCTGTTGTGTGTATCGGGTAGTTTAGTAAGATAGCGGACAGACACAAAAGACAGCAGTTAAATTGTGCACGTGTAGTTGTCAGGACTATTCGTTCATCTGATAAAAAGCGCAGCGAGCAAACAAAAGAAATCAAACTACATGACAACCGCAATGTGATGACTCGAGTGGGAATAAATTACACTATTGTTTCTACGAAGCTACTTTCCGGGCTGAGTGAAATCCGTCTGGATAATATTCAAAGCCGTACTATGTTATATTCAGACTTGAACGTGTTATTCTCCTAATCTATGGCGTTCGTTGAGGCTTCATTATTATATTTCAATAAATACGTGATCAGTGTCAAAAGTACATGTCGTATTAAAAAGAACCAATTTTTTTGAGATGCTAGAGAAAAATAATATCAGAACAATCTACTGAGTCAGACTAAGAGTTTATCAAAATTACACGGCAATGAAAAAACATCTTTCATCTACCAATAAACAAACGCAATAAGATGTTGAAGATGAAAAGAGTACAAACTCACGCTGTCCCCGCGGAGGTCATCACGCCCTCCCTCCGAATTGTGCAACGTACGCCTCAGCAAACCCACATGGTCTTGTGCCAGTAGAGCAAGTAAATGTACACAGTAATTTTAGAAAAGAATAACGGGAAATTTTAGTGTCACTGTGAATAATGTAGTACAGTTTTCTTGTGACAGAAGGTATCCACAATGCGAACTGGATATGTCGGATATTAAAACTCGTTGTCAGTTCAAAGTGCATAACTAATGATGGCTCTCGCTCAGATTGCTAAAAATTTCAGTCACGGTAGCAGATTACAGTCGTTGCTATGAACCGACCCTCGCACGGACGATAACATTGCACAAGCGAGATTTAAATAGTGACACTTAATGATAATTTCAGCGCAGATATAAGAAACAAACGCTAAAGAAACCGAAAGCACCAGAAGAAAGTGCAGAAAAAAACAAAAAACTGGACAAGACTTACTCGGTATGGATGCAGATATCCCGAAAAAACGTCAGCCCAATCTATTCCAACTAAACCGCCGTTTCTTGAAATATTTTTTTTACACTTAACAATCCTTGAAAAACATCATTGACACGTTTGCTCCGCAACCGACATTTCTCCAGCTGAAAACTGTTCATTTACCATTTGGGATTCAATCCATACGGTTAACGTTTTCCAAAGATTAGGAAAAAGAGCAATTTTTATATGAGTATTTTTCCATCGATTTTTTTGTACATTCGTTTAGTGATTGGTGTAGAAAAATGGCGCCATCCCCTCGAAAAATAACATTGAAATTAAAACCAATCCCTACTGAGCCAATCGCGTTTTACCGCGTTTTACCGCGTTTCAAGCAGTTTGTTTGTCTTAAATTTTATTTCTAATCGGTTTCTTATAGTACTGCTTAATTAAAACCTGGGCTGTAGGGAACAGCGTTGATTGGGGGGAGGGTGCTCAATCAAGGGGGGGTGTGGGGGCGCAGCAATGGGACAAAAACTAAAACAGACAATGCACATACAAAGGAACTCTTCAAACACATGGACATAGATAAAGTAGAAGAGAAAAGAAAATTTTCTCTTGTGCTGATCCCGCTCTTATTGAAGCTTAAAAAGTTGTAAATAAAGTGGAAATAGAAAGAGGTTTACTTTGTATCGCTGTTATTTAAGAAAGTGAGGGGGAGGCGCTTACTCTAGGGGGGCGTTTATTTGACACTATAGCCTGTAGGAATGGGTGCTTATTCAGAGGAGGGCACTTATTAGAGTAAATACGGTATCTTCCTTTGCCCTAATTGGTTGTTTTGATGTCTCTGATTTTTCATTACTTAGACTAAATACGTCACTTTTAACTTCGATTATATTCAGAGATGGACGATACTATAAACCCTACTTTTTAACTAACACCTTACACCCAATACCACATATATCTAGTTACCTTGAAACGGTTGAAGTGCATTGAAGTAGATGGAGAATAACTACTTGTTGAAGTAACAAACACTACTTTAAGTGTTTTCTCTAAAATAATCTAAAAAAGGATGAGATGAAAAAGAGAGCAAGCTGTTAGCTATGTGAGGTGAAAAATTTTTCTGTGGTTTCTCTTGATCAGCAAAGAAACCAGTTATCCCTTCCCCAAGCTACTTCCAATAACAGATGAAAAGACTAAAACCAAGGATGAACACAAAGCCCATGACTAGCACCCCCTCATAATTATGAAAGGTTGAGTCAGCTTACACACCTCATCAGAGCTTATCCCAGTTTCAGTAGCATGAAGTGACTAAGTGTATTGCTTATTCCCTGTGGACAGAATGCCAGTCCATGGTTACCACCCTCCCCACCCCCCCCCCTCCCTCCTATTGACCCTATGCATTTGGTCAGCTTTCCTCAAAAGTTTGCCAGAACTCATTTAAACTCCTAGACGGGGAGAGTTGAACATCTCGCTCAAAAACACAGCACAAAGACCCAGCCAGGGTTCACACCGACACCTTTTTACTTGCAGTCTCCCCCCTTCACTCAGAACCACTCAAATTAAGTATTCTTAAAGGAAAATAACCCTCTCACCAATAGATACTTATTTGGGTACAGGCATAAATTTTCTGTTTTCCCTTATTGAAAATTTGTTGATTTAAATTTTCATTTGTCAGTATTGTGGCACTGTTACTAAGCCATAAGTGGTCTGTAGAAAAATAGGGAGGCTGTTAATATATGGTACCCATTGTGGCACAAGGTTGCTCACTTCATACAATACCGATCAGTTGAAATTGTGTAGTATGTTTAATAGACCACAGCCTGAGAAGGCACAGATACTCTGTTAGTTGAGATTGTTTGAGAAAACTTGATTTGACAAGTCTTCTTCCCAAGATTTGCTGACCAAGACTGCAAGACCACCTACCAGTTACAACTAAATTGGCAAAGCGCTTGACTGCCATGCAAATAGTCGTGGGCTTGAGCCTAACACCAGGTAAACTATTGGGGTCTTAACTAACAAAGGTGTACTGGTATGTGCTGCCTTTACAATTCAATCCGAATATGATGTGACAAGACATTCTGAAGTAGTCTTCTCAAATAGGTCTAAGACACCGTGGGTTCTAAATTCCGTTAGGAATCACAAATTTAGCCACGAATTTTAAAAATACACACAAGGAGTAGCAGTGAGAAAGGTTTTGGGTAGGACAAAATGGACTACTGACCGTAGCTTAAGGAGCTGTCATATGCAAACCCTAAATCTCAACCAACATAGCAAGCATTGTAGGGTATCACACTGAGTATATTAGTTTGTCAGCTTTAACATGACTGAGACACTTCTCATACCTCTTAAACAGAGTGACTAAAGTGGGTGACAAGTGTGGCAAGAGCTTGAAATTATAGAGGTTGCATTCATCACCCATTAAATATCCACTGAGGTCAGGAAAGTGTGATGGTATCTAGACTGTCAACGCAAATTAAAAGCACTTAATCCAACGACCAGAAGCTGACCGAATACGGAAATTCTTCCATGCTTTGCATAATTCAAGTGAAAGAGGGAAGGATAGTATGTTGTCGATAGAATAACAAAAACACTTACCGTTTCGTCAGAACGCACGTCGCGCAGTTGTTTTGAAAATGGCCGCCTGGAAATCTCCTCATTTAAAAACCGCTGAATGAAAGAGCGTGGATCTTAAAACTCGTGTGCAGGACCTCTCAAATGTTTCATCGCCATTTAGTGGGCGAGGCATGGATAAAAATTCCTCTCCTACGGGCCCATGATTCATATAATGGTTGCTCGCCCAATCTTCGTAGGAGAACGGACGGAATAGTTTTGAAAGTGCCTCTCCACCGGTACTTCTGAGAATATACTATCAACACAATCACTAAGAGTGTAATCTTAGAGTGTCAAGGGTCTTTCTAGACATAAATGTAGTGAAAGAACCATTGTCGAGAGAAATGAGGAGCGACGTACACACACTTTGGAAACCGTAGCGAAGATTGGAGAAACAATTGCTTGAAGTGGGAGGACAGACAAAGTTTCCTTAAGAGTGTCATAAAATCGCAAATCGCAAAAGACCCAGGTGATCAAGTCACGATCAATTTTAGTGTGGCATTTGATTAACAGGGAAGGGAACGTGAGTTTTTATAGCCAATCGTGGAGCGCAGTGAAGTGAAACCTATGCCGTCATGGAGAATACTCTTGCCACTCTACAGAAAATTTGTCTTGTTACGGCCGTCGAGAAGAGAAACCGTCATATCACCCTTAAATCCTAACTTTGCTGAGCGTATTCCAACAATCATAACAAAAATACTAACTACATTAAAAAAACTTTTATTTCAACAAATTCTCTGCAACGTGGTTGCCAAAACCATCGTTAAATAATCGGTACACAACCGGTAGAGAATCATTAAGGGAAACCTAACTCCTTTTGCTAGTTCTTGGCTCTCGCCGTTTTTCAATCACCAGCTCTTTCGCGAGTTTCCGTTGACCAAAAGACTGAAAAAGGCTAGAACTAGCTCTTTCAAAAACCTACATTCACAAAAAGTGAAGAATTTCGATGCCATAACACGGCAATTAGAAAGTAAAGCATTTTGTAGAAAAATTAAAATCGCGTCTTACCAAACAAATCTTTCGCGATTCCCTAACTTCAACGGTAATTTAACTTGGACACAGAGGTAAAACGTCGGACATGCGCGAGGGGATCAATTCTGACCCACCGCGCGCCAATTTACAAGGCAAAATTGGGTTCTGAAAGCCTGAAAGCATTACAACGTTCGCACATGCGTGGACGTTTGACCGCTCTGTGTTAAACTTGTATCAAAAACAGTCCAAATGTTTATCGACAACTCGTCTCCTTCGTTAGTTCCCAAGGATTTCAGGTCTTTTTTCTGTTCTATCGTCATTCTACCCCTTGGTTTATATCCACCGAAGGTCAGAAAACAAGGAAGGTAGAAATATAAATAGTCCATACAACCAAAACGCCGCGAACACCGGCATCATGAGATCGCCTTTTTCAGACTTGGTTAAAAACGTGATTGCTATTGTGATCCAAATCCACGCAAAACCTTGAGTGTTAGTACTGAGAAGAGGAGTAGAGAACTTAAGCTGATAAAGGAGAGCAGCTTGACTGGTTAAACGAAGGACAGCCTGAAAGGCAAAAACCAAACGAACGTTTAAACACCCTTGCATAAGAGACGGTAACAATTTTGTTAGAATAATGGCTGTAAATATATGAAAATCATATATGTGCACTGCGGTGAAGAAACGAATATAAGCGACCCTCGCAGCTATGAACACTACTGAACTAATAATTGAAATAAGACCTGAAAAAAATTCAGGCCTGTACGGGATTTGAACCCATGGCCTCTGCGATACCGGTGCAGCGCTCTACCAACTGAGCTAACAAGCCAACTGGGAGCTGATCATTATGTTAGACCTGAACTACACTTGTGTAGTAGAATAGATTTCCAGACAAACGCACAGGAAGCGCAAGCTCAACACGCTTTTAATGCCCTAACAATCGCCCCGAGTGGAGAGCGCTTAACAATTTCCAATGCTTCCAAATTGACATATTTAACTCTCCCCCTTGGGGTCATCCAATTTTGTATATCACTCGTAGGATTGCAAACTGAATTGGACTCCACTCAGTCGTACCACCATCATTAATGATATTCTATATGTGCTTAATCATCCTGTCTACAATGCATCAATTGAAAAGAAAAACCCTGCCGCAAACCAATCATAACTAATAATAAGTATTAAATTTTCTTCAATCCGGTTGGTTAAAAGTGTTACAGTTTTCTGGTAATGCAATGCACAAGAGAATTAATTTAGTGCAGAAAAGTTAATCAGAGCTAGAACGGGAGAAATTTGAGTACATGAGCTTCGAACATTTTTTGTAACTTGAAAAAGAACAATGGTTGTTTTGACAGAATATGTTTTTTTTCAAAAAAAAATGTGCTTATTTATTCCAAATTGCACTTGAAATAATTTGATTACCCAACAAAGATGAAGTTTTTGTGTGCATTTTTCAAGTACTACAGAAAATCAACAATGCCAAAGTGCTATAAGTTAAGTAGACTCACCAGAAAGAACACACTGAAGATGACATTCACCATTCCTCTCTGTGACACCTCCAGTTCCAGAGCAGGAACCTCACCAAACAACAAGGCAATAAATGGTAGACATACAACACAGCTGAAATTTAACAAATAGAGTAGCTCTGGATGTGAAGCCTGCAACAGATAAGAAATCACAGTCACTAAGTACATTTATTAACCCTTTAAATTCCATGAGTGACCAAGACAGAATTTCTCCTTACAATATCAATACAATATCAACCAGATAAGTGATGAGAATAAAGAAAAATATAAATTTGGGGATAATTAGTTGATCCAATACTAAATTCTCTGAACTAACATTACAAGAACTGTGTGGTTCAAAGTGAGGAGAATGAAAAATTTGATCTGGGAATTAAAGGGTTAAGTGAACAATAAACACATTCCAGTGGTACTTGTAAGAATTAAGGCTATAGAGATCCTTTGAAAAAGAAATTGCAAAGTTAATAATATTAACAAATAAAAGAAGATTTATTACAAGTACAGAGTAGGGCTTGAATGAAGTTTTCTTAATAACTAGTCCCTTAGTTAATTGACATAAATTTACCAGTTTATATAGTTTTTTTTTTTTTTAATTCTAAGAAACTATGCTTGAACTAATAACCTACATTACAGACATGTTTAATGACATATAAATACCCTGGACAAATACACTTTTCTATGTACAGAAAAAAAATTGCCTAAGACCTGCATATAGATACATACCTTATGCAGAAAGCGTTTTGCATGCACAGTAAAAAAAGCCAAAGAAGCACTCATCATCAAGGCAAAGACACCATCACTAAATGACACTTTGAATTTTGCTGTTGAATCCTCAAGTGAGCAGAAGAGAACCACGAGAAGTGAACATAGAATAACCACAAATATGACAATCCTGTCATTATAACACTGACGACTGGTCAACCATGATGCTAGTAGAACCATCGCTGGTGTTAGGGCAAGTGATAGCTGGGACAGATAAATACAAATTGGTTATAATTCAACAATTGATCAAACATTAATTCATACCATAACAGATCAAACAGTTTCACTACCACAGGTAGGTAAGTAGGTAACATCTGTACTTGAGTCAAGTGACCCATCCAGCAGGAGCTTATGCCAGGTTCTATGGCATGAAACTACTAAGAGGATTACTACTCCCCCCCTCCCCACCCCCAGGATGGGATGTCAATCTATCGCAAGGTTACCCCTCAGCATTTCATCAGGGTTCCCAGAAAATTCACCAGTACCCATTCATACTCCTAGGCAGAGAGAGCTGCTGTGAAAGTGAAGTATTTTTGCCCACACATAAAACACAATGACTTGAATTGGACCAGGTCTTGAGCCCAGACCTCCACAATGCGAGACACTCAACACATCTCCTACATTCTTAAAATGCCACTTGATCATAAATATCCAATACAAAATAGGCTATTTTACAGTTGTGTACTTACATGTAGTTGCCAAGCCTTTGATTTGGAGTGAGGCTGAAGGTGACCTTGTTGTGATGGGGACCAGTATCTAGTTGGCATGATAACAAAGTAATCTACATTTGAAAAGCAGCAATGTTTGTAACATAACCAGGTCACCCTTAGCCTCACTCCTGTTCAAAGGCTTAGCAACTAAGCATGCAACTGTAAAATGGACTACTGGAGAAAATCTTAATGATACCTTCCAGAGAATAGCCAAACCCACAGTTTTCCTTGAGTTTAACTCTTGGAAAACTGTTCTCTTCCCACAAGAGATGGCGTTCATATTTTTCAATTGATTAGCAACAAGAACTGATACATACCATATATGCTGCAGAACCTCCTGATACTCTAAAGTTTGATGTATTAAAATCCAGAGAAAAGATGGTCACGGAAACTACATGTAAAAAGAGCATGGGGAAAAAATGTCTTGCTTGGCTCCTGAAACTGAAAATAAACAATATAGAGAAGCTGTAAGTTTGACGTCAGTAAGTGTACACAGATCATTACAGACTAAACATTGAACTAATGCAAGAAAAGACAAAGAAAACTTGAAAAAATTAATACCACAGCTCCCTGCACAAGATGAACAGTAATAGATCACAGATGATGCCAAATGTGAATGGCACACAGAGTACACCTAAGTGTGTCAATGTTCTTATCACCTTTGGATGACTTTTGTGATCTTTTACTTAACAGACCCATGGCGACATGGAATCTATTTGTTTTTTTTTTTAATAAAGAAGAGGCAAAAATTAATAATGATGATGTCATCTCTTTATCTGTCCTTCAAAAGATCATAGTTAAGAACCAATCAAAATATTTGCATGTTTCAGCTTCTCATATTATTTACCTTATTCATACTTAATTTAGCATGTGCTCAATTTTGCAAATTTGGCAAAACGGTACTTAACTGGGTTTAACTTTTCGCAATTTCAACAGGCAAATATGAAAATAGGGCCTTGAATTTTGTGAAACAAGCAATGTCAACTTCATTTTCTTTTTCAAAATGTCTTAACTTTTCTAGATGGGTATTAAATTTTGTGCGTGTAAATTCCACAAGGATTTTCCTTCATGAGTCTTAAATTTTGTGATTTTTTTTACACCACAAAATGCAAAATGAAGTACATACGAAATTAAGTAGGAATATAGTTATTTTCAACAGATCCACCAATCCTAGTAAAGTTCTTTTCGTTTGAACATTCTTAACCTTTTGACCCCTAAGAGTGACTAACATCTAATTTCTCCTTACAATTTCTAACCCTCAATCACACATTAAGGTCATAGGAATAAAGGAAATGACCATCAACTAAAGAAGCTCTTGATTGTTAAACAAATTCTCCTTGGAAATGTATAGAGACAAGTATAGAGAATGTGTATACTGATGTTGGGGTGTAAAGGTTTAAACCAAACCCAGCAGAAGCAAAAGATCCAATCAGAACAACAGAAAGCATTCCAAGAAGGCAATGAAAACTCATGGTAAATACAAGTAAACATGTACAAATTTGAGTCACAACAGGTTTAAGTAAGAGACGTTATTGTTGTGAAGGTGCAAATAATTTTTATACCATTCAGAAAGCAAAGAGAAGTAAAAGACCCATGTAATCCCAGATATTCTGAATTACTTTTGATACCCAATTAGTCTTTCCCACCCCTCCTAAGGACACTATATGTATTACCTAAATATTTTATTTAAAAAAAAGACTCAGTCTTTTGACCGATTCTGCACTTTACACACTCAGTCAAATTAATTGCAAAATACTAAGTGACAATTCTTGTAAACACTTTCTGTTATTGACTTCTTGATCAGTGGTGTCATGTCCTTATAGTTACTGCAATTGCCGTCTAGTTTGCTGAACAAATAATTGCAAAATCTTAAAAATAACATGAGATACCACTAAAAGAATGTTTTGCACAGCATAACAAAAGGGAATTTCTGGTATATTTTGCATAACACTGAGAAATGAGAGTCTTCATCAAACCATCAAACAGAGAAAAGTTGCCAAGAGCCTGAGCATAAGAAATTGAAGTAGCTTGAAATCCCAATTACCTACTTTTCCTTTCAATTTTTTGATGAAGTTTTGGACTTTGTTTAATTCATAGTAGATCTGATTTAACCATTTTGCAAAGTGAACTTTCCTGTGAATTTCAAAGTCCTCTGTTACATGACTTGCCAGGAGGTTCCATGTTGCGTTTCATTGGTAGGTAGCATGAACGCATCGACGGGCACTTAAGTGAGGTGCAAAGATCAGGAATTTCTTAAGAGACCAAAAATTTCAGGTTTTTTAAACACAAGTTACCTCTGTTAAGACATATTAATATATTATATAGATTTATAAGATCTTCATGAAAATTGGCCAGAATGTTCATCAGCTATTAACACACCAAAGTGTGTGAGGCTTTTACGAAATTTTAAATATTTCTCTCCTGAAGTCTTGGTGACTGACAACAACCTAAATACTTTCTTTTGTCCAACTTCAAATTGACTTTCCCAGGAACCAATAAGATATATAGAAAAAGCCGCACACAATAACTGATAGCCCATTACCAATTGGGTGTTACTATCCAGTTTGTTTGGAAAGCGGTAAGGCAAACGCTTGTAATCCAGTAAAGAAAACACAGTCAGTTTTGTGTTTTAAGGCTCGCGCGCGGCTATCAAAACAAAAACTGAGAAAATTTTGTTATTTTCATAATCTATAATTTAAACATGCAAGCTTACCGTGATATAAAGCTTTCTGAGGTTTCTTTAAAAGTGACGCGCGTGCACGTTGGACGATGTTTGTCCACTAAGGTCCTCAGACATAAAAAACGCTCCTTACAATCGTTCCTCCGGTGAGACTTCCCGTCTATGTAAATATTTACCTAACCAGCTGTTGATTTAACTCTCGCTCAATGCTTTACTTACCTTCGTATTCGCTTTCTTCCCCAGAATCTAAAGAAGAGAGCGATCGCACAACTTTCAAACCAGAAGAAGAATATTGAAGCATGGCTGCTTTCAAAGAGCTTAAAATGAAAGATCTTCTCCACGATTAGGGCGACAGTAAAAAGAACTGTTGACAAAAACGTGTAAATATAGCTGTGGTCTCTTAGAGTCTTTTTCTCCACTGAATGTTCGTCGCTATCGTCAGCTTTTGTGTGAACAGTGAAACCACTCCATAACGAAGAAATATTGTTGATACCTTTGTGATTATTGTGAGAATTACGATTTGTATGTTCAGGCGTTCTACTTATGATTTCAGAGACATCCTCTCCCGACGATAAAGTCCTTGTCCGGAAAGACTCCATTCCCTGAATCTTCAAGAAAAATCGGAAGAATATATTACATGTAACACAACGAGAGGGAACTCGAAAAGTACAACAGGATCTAAATAGTCACGTGCCACCACGAGACAACGAGGAAGAGAAACGTGGTTACACCGAGGGGACCCATAGAGATATTCATTGAGCAATGATATTCAGCTTTTTTTTCGGGGAATAAAATGACGACAAAAGCCGATGAAAGAATTTAAATTATCTAACCACCTATGAATCTAACTCTTCTCTCCTTAAGTTTTTCTGTTCTTTTTTCCTTCTGCTGTATGAAATATTATCCCAACAGTACCCTGATGTGGTTCAAGAAAATTTACCCGGGAGGGCTGAGAATGGACAAGTTGTATTCGATCAAAGATGGCGCCCTCGGCACTTTCGCTAACGATATTGACGATCGTTTAACAATGGCAAATCTCAAGAACCGAAAGGCCGCCCCCGATGATCTTGAAGCAGAAGCAGAAAAGGCTTTTCAGCGGGCTTCTGCTCAGCAAAATCGAAATGAAGATGATGAGTTCGACCTTGAATTTGAAAGTGCTTTCCAAAATCTTCCGCCAAGTAAAGCTGACGCGAAGTCAGACGGTTCCATTAAGGAGTCGGCCGTCAGTCAAGAGGTGTCTAACGGTCCTTCTCAGCTTCCCATTAAGACAGAAGGACTGCCTAGTAGTTTGCCTTCTAGTCAAGGGTGAGAGGGAAAATTATTCAGCGCAAACTTATCACGATCAGATACACTTACCAATATTTGTTTGTTTGTTTTTTTTTTGGGCTTTTGTCAAGGGTTAGTTTATGTATATTTAGCCTCCGATGTTGAGGTTTCTGTTAACCGATGGGTGGATACTAATCTTAAATTAATCATTTTGTGCTTGATATCGCCCCATGTGTCGTTTAAGAGCCTACAATCTTAATATTTTTTCAAGGATGGTACAGATTCACTCTAAACAGCGTGAAATCAAGACATTTTGTCGGTCTTCTAGATTATACTAAGTGTGGATCTTACTAATTTTGGCGTTACGAATCGAGTATTTAATCAATGAATCATTATTTTCACAACATACGGAACATTATAATTCCCTGTAAATTCAATTTGCTTCAATAAGCTTTAAGTACCAAACTTCAAAACCAATAATAACTTGAATGAAAATTATGGAATTACTTGAATTGGCAAAATTTTTACCTCTGTTCAGTTATATTCACATGGTGCATGTTTACAAAGCTGTATTTTAAAGGAGTTGTGGCCAATCTTGTGCATCTTGATAAAGTTAGCCAAGGTTGTCATGTGCAGTGCACTTTAATCTTCTTCCTCTAAAGACATCTTGTGAGGAGCAAAAATAAAAAAATTATTCTCAGTGGGAAAAAAAAAATGTTATTTATTGACAACAGGGATGTATACAGGATTTCATAACCACAGATCCAGGGCAAGGTTTGGTTGCTTTATTATTTTCAATTATCTATATTTCTTGGCCAAGAGGGAATCGTATGAATTAAAGAATGCCCTCCCTCTAGTTTACACTCAGGCCTGTCTACTCATTGTGAAGCCTAACTGTATACTTTAATTTTTACAGATCAAGTGCATCAGAACTGAACAGATACTCTCCTCGCAAAAAGAAACTGCTAATTATTCTGAAAAGGAATCAGCGTCAACCAGTCCTACCTCGGATCAAATGCGACCTGGTAAACGAAGACGGAGATCGGACAAAGATAATATTCCACCAGGAATTAGGAAGCTACCTTCACCTCCAACAACACTTGAACAGGCCCAGATGGAGTGGGACTTAGTGGAAACTGTTCAGCCAGGTACAGTACTCTGTTTGGGAAATGTAACTTAAACCAATGGGCCAGTAATTTTTCAGACAGTGTTTAGCACAGAGTGGAATAGTGAAAATACATGGACTGCAACACCTCCTTACTCCTGGGTTATGAGAGGGTAGTGTCAGACTGATAAGGTTTTTTTTTTTGAGTCATTGCTCCTGGTCTTCTTTTAATTGTTCATAAAACTGAGATTAAATATTTTTATGGTTAAACTGAAGTTGGTTCATAATGCAGTTTCATGTAATGTCATCTAAACTGTATTGTTATATTCAGCCTTGAGTGTCTGTCCACAAGTCTCACATTGATCTGCTGTCAGATCAATGTTTCTGCTGAAAAACAGGGTTTTCCATACATTTAATTATGACATTAAAGGGTTTTAAACTCAGACAGGAGACACTTACCGGTATGTGTTCTTGTGGTGTGCATGTACATACAGGTGTCAACCCAAGTTTCCAAAATCAACTCCTTGATCATTAATATGAATGATACTATCCTCCCTGCTTGTCTCCTCAGTTCATAAAATTTGGGCTAGCTTATGTTTTGATAAGGTTTTCTAAAACTGACAGCAATTATTGAAATTATAAATTGTTCATTGTAAAGGTCTGAACCTTGTCTCAAAATTATTCATTGTGTAAAATACATGTGAACTTGTCTCCTCTTCAGTGTCTGTTTTGTTGATTTAAAAGATCTAGAAGGTTTACCGATTAGAGCATCTTTTCCCACCAGGTTTTTGTTCAATAAAATGCTCTTAATTGATTTCTTAAAAGGAAGTGGTCAAGCTGGTAGCCGTTCACCTCTTATCACGTTCCAGGATGCTATACGTCACTTTCAAACAGCTAGTTACCTTGAACAGCATATGTCACACATCAAACCAACTGTCAAGCATCGTGGAATGGCAGCTGTGACCCATAAACTATTTGGTCCACCACAAATGAACAGCAGCCTTCACTTGGAACGGAATCTCATCTTTGCTCTTGCTTTGTGTATGTTCAAAAATGACGAAACCATGCATAATCAAGTGCTACAGACTATTTATAAAAAATTAACAGGCACCAAGCTTGACTGTCCTCGCTATGGAAACCACTGGGAGCTGATTGGTTTTCAAGGTGTGATTATATTTCTATGGATACATGTAAATGAATTAACCCTCCACACCCTGACCTCAGTTTGTAAATTCTCTGTACTAAAGGTGAGAAGCCTCTAATTTCTTCTTACAATATCACTCCTGATTCAAACAAGAGAAGTCTTGATCGTCAAACAAATTCTCCTTGTCAGTGCCTTAGGAAATGTATAGAAGACTGCAAGGAGAATATGCTTACTGATGTTAGGGTGTGAAGGGTTATAGAAAAATGTGGGATAAATTCTTCAATCACTCCTTGTAAATTAGATGTACTGTTTTTTGAACTATTTTACAAACTATAGAATTATCACAGTAACATTTTACTACACAATTATATTTTATAGGTCTTGATCCTGCAACAGATCTAAGAGGTTGTGGTTTTCTGGGCCTGTTGACAACACTGTACTTAGTAACTGACCAGCGGACCCATGCTCTGGCTTTGGATATCTACAAACTCTCCCAACATGAAACACAGAACTTCCCATTTTCTATCATGTCTATAAACATTACCAGGATTGCTCTTCAAACTCTAAGAGAGGAGAAGCTGAATAAGTATGTGCCTCCCGCTTCCGGTCAAGCGTTTTTATATGCTGTAAATTGCGTTATCTACGTTGAGTTACATGCGTTACTAGGTTTTGGCTGACTGCAATGTTATGGGCCACGTGCACTGGGAGATTTTAGTTTTGTGTGAGTTTGTGTGTTGAAAAATTGCGTTTCGGTTAGGACACCTGTAATTTGGAAATCAGCCAGTGGTTTTAGTTCGTCAACTCGACAGAGTAAGTTCAAATGCTTTTATCTTGAAAATATTCATATTATATCGGGGGAAAAGAAGGGCATCCTTTTTACGTTTTATCATTTGTAAGAGACCAACGCCATTATTGTGCCACTTTTGAATGATTCCAGCTTTTCTTTTACAGGCCATGCAACCGCCGCCGTCAGGTTCTGAACGTTTTTGTTGAATTCTACGCCGCTATTTTCGTCCACGTCTACCAGGTCTGGAAACATCAACATAAGACTATCAGTGACTCAGGGTTTGTGCTTAGGGAAGCAGAGAAACTCGCCAAAAAGCGACCGCGTGACCTGCATAGAAACCTGGAACGAGCATTAGCCGATCGTCAGGGTTTGATCAAAGTCGACGAAGACAACTTTTCTCCGAAGGCGAAACAGCCCGACATACTTGATAAGTTCGCTGGAGTTTGCGATCTACAAGTAGATGAAGAGGAGGAAGTTCATCTGGTGTAGTGTTTGAGAATTAAGAACAAAATTATGTGATCATAGTATTAGTAAATAACGAGAGCAGCCAATGAGAAAACGCGAATGGCTGAGACGCGATTGGTCGAGGGAATGGTGTGAGTCCTCTCAACCAATCACAGTGCGCAGTGAAACATAGCAAATAGAAATCGTGGATTTCTTTCGACATTCAAGTGTCCACTGCTCAAGGAGCTTTTATCGACAAAGTATTCGAATTCAGAATTCTCATCTGGTCATGGGACTCCTGACGAGCAGCGTTTGCCCTCTACTGAACGCTCAAGTTCCTAAAGAGAATTATAATATTTATATAAACCAGGTAGTGCTAGCTGTACAGCTGCAATATGTATAGAAATCGAGTACTATTAAAGTCACCCCACACAAGGAACTCTGCTTTTTTATTTCCACTTTGTGCATGTTTGGTTTTGCTTTGTATTTGTTTTTGTTCGTTTTTGTGTTTTCGTTTTGGTGGTTCTTCTCTTTATCTTTTTGCTTAATATATTTTTGTGTCAGCAAGTTTGGTCGAAATGGGGAGCTGTTCAAAGAATGAAAACTTCAACACTTTTCTTGCCCAATGCCGTTAGCCATCGCTTTTTGCACAGTACAGTAAGACCGTAACCAGGCCATGTCGGATTAAATTGTGAAATTGAGAACTTTATATCAAAGCACATTTTGGAACAGACTTTGCTTTTTTTTTTTTTTTCTCTGAATTTTTAGGGGCACGATTCCGTGGCAATATCAGCTGAACCATTATCTGAACAAAAACTCTCTTCAGTCCCTCGAACACAGGAGTTTGGAAATTAATGGCGACATTGATATCAGTTGATTCTGATCAATAACTCTTGAAGGAGAACGAATATCAAAGCCTTCTCTCAAAGTTAAGTGGGAACTGTACGATGTTACCGTAAAAATAGACACACTGAAAACATCTTTATCTAGTAACTGGAGGAAGTATTTTTATGGCGCAATATGTTATCTTTTAATTAAGTCAGATACATTCACTCCTAACATGGTAGCCGAGTCATTATAAGCAACCAAACTTAGATTTGAGTGTAGGTGCTGGATTGAGGCTATATCAAGCCTCTACTTATGTCGATTTACGGCGATGAATACGGAAAAATTGAATTTGAAATTTTGGCAATATTGTATCGCGTGTGTTTTTCTTGGACTCATCAGACCTTCAACCGTAATTCCTTAACTAGAGTTCTGAATATCACTTTGAAATTAAAAGTTTTTGGATATTAAGCAAATTGTAGTTATCATGTCATAACATAAATTACGTTTAACTTCACTTTATATGAAATCGGGGTTTCGATCGTTTGAACTGTGAAGTTTCTTCTATTGGGCGTTTTATATTGAATCAAGGAGAGCATTTCCCCCAGCTGCAGGAGTTTTATGTTAGTTTTATAAAAATGTTTATGTAGTGGTTGTCTGGAACAATTCGAGAAAACACTGATTGTCGCAAATTCATTACCATAGTTACAAATTAATTCCTTGGAAAATAAACGAAAATACACGAATATAGCGAGTCTGTTACATAACACTTTGATGTCAAAAATTGCTCCGATAAATAACTGAAGTGAGAAATACTTAGTGACATGCGCAGTTTCTAATTATAAAGTTGAGACTGATGCAAGAATAAACTTATGGGGTTGCTAAGAATTCACAAAGGAAGTCGGACTTAAAAATTTATCGCCATCCTCTTTGGTTTCTTTCGCGGTTTCTGTTTCTATTCGCTGATAGACACAATATTCTCAAGTGTGAATTTACCATGCAACATTTTCTGAAGCAATATTCCGATAAATACCGTTAACCTTAAAGAGATGGTCTCTAAAATATGAGAAAACTTCCAAATTCACATACATTATGTAACGTTCTATGCCGCTTTCTGTAGAGTAACTCAGCTTTTGACCCTAGCAGTTGGGTGATATGATATTCCAATTCCCTTATTCTGTGTTCAAATGGTTTGCATTTTCGAGAATGATGTTTTACCTTCTGTGCACTAAAAAGGGCGAATATTTGTAATATCAGTGTGACTAATTGGTGTTATCTCTCCGCCTCGAACGCTGTGCGAGATAAATGTAATCCTTTGTATAGAGGCAGAATATGAAAGAATTAGCGCCGTGTCAGCAAACCATGCCCAATATTCATGTCAATCCTTCCGCCCTTTTCTGTATACGTTGAACTTTGTGCTGCATTCTTGTCCTGTGATAAAATCTGATCTTTCCAAAAACGCCAACTATATGGTAATTAAGAGGTGCTTAGTCATCAATACGAGCATAAAGAACCTTTTGCGACACTGAATATCACTTAGCATTGTTACTTAAGAGCCCACTTGAAATTTCAAAGAAAGACTTTTCTATGAAGCTGCCTTAAAGAGCATGTAAATGGAATCTTTTGGTTCTATTATGTCAATCAGTTCTAAGTGAGAGTTTCCTCGAGCCTTAGCACTTCGTCGGCATGAATCTTCGCACCACATTTCTCTACATGTCAGTTTTTATTGTGGTGAGTTCGGCATATCGTTTGAGTCGCTTCCAAAACCACAAAAACGAAGGAGATCCGTGGGAAAGAGAAGAAAATCCCGACCGCGATTTTCTATACCGAAATCTCGGGTAAGACATTTTCGTCTAAACTTTTACAATGGTTTTACGTTTCAACTCTTCTTCAGTTAATCCCATAGGCATTTGTTTCTCTCCTTCAAGATTTGTCATGTTATAACTGCTTGATTCGAAAATTCAGATGACAAGTTGTTTTGTTAAATTTCGTTTGCCTTTTTCTTTCGGCTCTCTCTTCTTATTGTCTCACGTCGTGAATAAATTAAATCAAATGTTTTTTCCTTTTTGCAATTTCCTTACATGTAAATTGAGACAATCTGAAAATTTCTTCGAAAATATTTCCCCATATTTTGTAGACTTTATCAGCGTTGCTTCTTTCATAGAATTCTGCGGAAAGGTCTTTGAATCAAGACGATCGTGACGCTGCGATTTAATTTTGCCATGAATTGAGATACTCAGTAATTAGGGGTGCACAACAATTCAAAAATATTTATATTTCCAAACCGAGAGAGACTAAAGTCTATAGCGAATTTGTAAGTTGGCGAGAAGTAATCATCCACTGCGACATTTTTACAAAAATCGCGCCTCTAATGCAGGTTGAATTACAATGAGGTAATGTTACTGTACGTTTTCACACTTATATGCAAGTGGGACCAGTCCTCTTTTCTTATTTCCCTAGCCCTCAGAAAACTAGAAAGGTACTGCGTAGTATCTTCAATAGTCTACTAAAGTTTTGAATATTCTATCTGGACCGAAATAATGAGTTAAAATATATGACCTAAGATTACTCCTTTGCTTTACTTACTCGTAGGGTGTTAAATTACAATGTGCTGGAGACCCCACAAGTCACCCCTCCCCCACCACGCCCATACGTGGGACCCAAGAATGGAAAGTACAAATACAAGTACTGGAAGAAGAGGCCCAACAGACGGCGACCGCAAGAAACTTCTGAATCGGAGTCAGATGACGAAAAAGAAAGTGTCGAGACGGAGAAGAAGAGATTTTCTGATGTGATGCGACCTCCCTCCCAGAGGTGGATTCTTTATGGGAAGACCATGCTTATTTGATTGATTGACGTTTAAAAATCCTAATTATTGTTTAGCAATTCTCTCTTCTTACTGCTGTACGTTTTGTCGCGGGCTTAAGTTAAGAGAATTTGATGCGATATCACGACAAGGGTACCTCCTCTAGCTGATCATTTTCTCTTTTCTCGTCACCTACTTCTTAGTAGTTGAATCGATATTGTAAGGAAGACATGTTGTTATTGCTTAGAAGGGTCAAAACCGCTCAACGTAATTGTGAGTCGAGAAACTAGACTTGACTCACGCTGCAACAGAGCATAACCAATGATCTTAGATTCCTGGCCACTCCAACGCAGTTCACATTGCAAAGATCATCTCATCAAAATAGCTTCTTAACCCCGCGAAATGTTCAGTTTCCATTTGCCTTACACCAAATTCGAATTTCTCTCCTTGTACAAATGCAAAGTTATGAGTCACTTCGTGGCGTAATGTCTGTATCGTTTGACGGACTGATCTTCGATCACTTTAAAGCTTGAATCATAGCTGTTGGCCATGGGTCCCTGTGCTGTGTTCTGCCGATTGATGTAGTACAGTGGTATACAAGTTTCCTTTAAAGCCGTTCTTAGTGATGTAACGCAACTTTCTCTCGAAGCGTGACATTTTAAAGCTGCGAAGCATAGCATTCAATAAAAACCAACAACAATAACCACAAACAACTACAAAAACGCAACGGTTTATCCCCGGACGTGATAGTGTAGTCTGATCGTCTAAGTGGTTGTGGTCCGAACGACCTGGATCGAAACAGATCAATTACGACAGACTTATGCTACTTGAATAAAGGGGTAAGTTTCTAAAGAAACTGTGGTGCTGCGTCGGTGGGAGAGTATAGCAGGTAATTTAGTGTTAACAACTGGGTTGAAAACGTAAATTAGCCACCGTAAAAGGTAAAAAAGCTGACGTTTCGAGCGTTAGAAACAATTAGAAGCGTTAGAAATTAGAAATTGCGTTAGAAGCAATTCAATCGCTCTGACGAAGGGCTAACGCTCGAAACGTCAGCTTTTTTACCCTTTACGGTGGCTAATTTACGTTTTCAACCCAGTTGTTAACACTAAATTACCTGTTATGCTACTTGAGTCTTACAGCCAATAACATCGTAGCAAAACAAACCAATGAGTTTATACGAACCAGACTTCAACACCCACCCGGACCATCCGAGTACGCTATCACAACAATAAAAATGACAACAGCCTCGTTAAAAAAAATCTATTTCCTTTAATTATTTACAACACTCGCAAATAAAATTTAAAACTGAACCTTTCAAGGCTATATCTGCGATTGAAAGTTTTTCTCTAAAACCTTACAAACCTTTAAATGAGCACGTAACAAACCCTTTCCACGGACTGAATCAATTAAGCCGGGTTGAACAGAAGACTGAATAATCTACTGACATCAAAACTACCAAGTCACCTTGCTAAGCACTATTCCTAGACAACGTGAAGAAAATGCCTTTTGTTTGTTTGTTTTAAATACAGTAGCGGTAAGTTACTTTTTCTATATTCACCCTTAGTTTGACTTTCGTGGCAGAACCTTAAGTAAAGTCCTCCCTTGGTGTCTAACCGGCAAATCTCTTTGGGAAAGTTATTGAGAACACGTCCTATATCCAAATATATTACAAAAGACCACTTTTTGCCAATTCAGGCAGAAGGATTCAAGTGAACTTTAAAACACCAACAGCGTAGCTCCAGTTCTGCATATACATCACACACGATCCAAAATTCCTCTCTTCGCTCTGACGAATGGCTAAAGATTGAAACGTCAGCTCCAGAAACTCTTTAAGGTGGCCAATTTACATCGTCAACTCAGTTGAAAAAAGCCAAATTATCTCCTCATACCCCCCCCACCGATAAAACGCTAATTTCTTTAGAAAGTACCCCCCCCCTTATCCATTGTAGGTTGTTTTGGTGAGTTATCGCTCAATATGTTCAAAGAGAGGGATTGGACTCCAACTAAAAGCCCCTCTCTCTTTCCTACATGATAATCCCTCACTTAGGTCCAGTCTTTCTTTTTTGTAACTCTTGTGTAAAATATAGTGCTGCTTCTTAGCTTTTTTCTTTCATTGTGGCTTTTTCTTGTTTTTCTTCTTTCCCAGAAGCTATTTTCCTCAACTCTTCTAATCTGGGTTTAACGCCGTTCAAATGATTGATGCCATCATCTATTTTGTCCTTGGTCCATTCTTTCACCACACTATCGTCGTAGACTGGATTAAAAACTTTTGGTACCTTGGACTGCACCGATCTTAGAATCTGTAACGCTCTGGAGATACAAAATAGAAACTTAAAGCCAGTTCTAATAATATCAGTGTTAGAAGGAGTAGTGGCCCTTGGGAGGGGAGGGACAAGGAGAGAGAAAAGTATCTCGCTGAAGAACAAAACATGACAAGGCTCTTTAAGGCTCGAACCCAGACCTCTCCCAAGTGTGTCCAGTACGCTGACCAGTAAGCCAATGCCTCACTGTGTCTAGCGCTAGCCAATGTAGAGACAGCCCACAGCTGATAAAAAAAAAACTTGCTAAATTAAATAATCACCCAATCAATGATAGTTTATATCAATTGAAGAAAGAAAATACCATTCTAAAGTTTAGCAGCATAAAAGGCTTCTTACTTCATTGTTCTGTTATACGCCATCTCCACTTGAAAATAACTTAGAAACTTGTTTTGTACTTCACGGTCTAGCAACCAGCTTTGCTCTCTACAAGATACGAAGATAAGATCAATGCATCAAGCATTTTGTTAGTTTGTTTCCTTGTTTGTGTGTGTTTTGTTTGTTTTCTGTTGGCTTATTTAAAAAGAACAGAATAGGAAAACGAAAGCGATTGTAATCAGGGACTCAGCTGCAACGTGGCTGAGATGTTGTGAAGTGCTAAGTTGGTTTTCTGGGGTCTCAGTTTCCGGCCCTAATATCAAAATGCTCTATGAGTAACGCCGTCGAGCTGTTTTGACACCATGCTAGTACTGTAACTACTATTCTTGAGCTGTCATCTCTGTTGAGAGAGGCAAAATAATTTTCTCGCGTTTTGGCCCCATCACAGCTGAAACAATCGGGTCAATTTCAGCATCTGAGCAATTGCACACCTACCCTCTCAAAACACAACAACAATCACCTGATAACAAGTTAGGGTTAATGTTGGGTTAAGGGAGGAACAGGTACGCAGTTGCTCAGACACTGCCAAATTATCTGAAATCCCGCTTTCAAGTTTGTATTTGATTGACATATGGCGTGTCCCACAGGAACACGGAAAGAAGCTCTTTTTTTCAGCGGAATCTACTTCTCTGCGACGAGCAAATTGTTATTATCATTATATTTTTGTGAGCCCTGAAGACCGAATGGGTACGCTCAACTCCAACTCAAGAACGCTTCCATAAAGTTTTAAACTTACATGTTCCCAACACCTCTTGTAAAGAACACTGCCTTCTCCAGGTGGGAAACAAGTGTGTATAGTTCATGACCTGGAAACGTTCCTTCCGCCGGATGAAACCTATGGACAGAACCGGAAGTTAAGGTGGTCTGCCGTATCCTCGCCCAAATTCTCTGCAAGGCACCCGTACAACGTTGACTATTTAATAAATAGGTTACATTTTGCTTTGCATCTGTTTAGTAATAGATTTAAGATAAAGTTTAAAAGTGGTAAGAACAAAAATATGGCAGTGATGTCCATACCACATTTTGACGTCATCTGTGATCTATTTCTGAGCAGACCACCGCAACATGGAATCTATTTGTTTTATATGATGAAAAAAAAAACTCTTTTAGAGGCGAAGATGTGAAAAAACACAACACCTTTCATGACGCAGACTAACAACTATGCACATGCGATAATGAAACAAAAGAAAACAAAAACTGACTATTTAAGTGGTCTTTCTGTTTTTGTGTTTATTGTTAATAAATTAGGCCCTTTTGAGAAGCCATTTCATAAACTCAAGCTTCGTGTTTCATCAGGATTTCCAAACACTCGAAAACAATAAAAGCATTCGGCCTTCGGCCTCGTGCCTTCATCAGTTTTCTCGTGTTTGGAAACCCTGATGAAACACTCGTCCTCGTTTATGAAACATTTCATCTTACCTGTTATTAAATCTCTCCACATTGAGAGGGAATGTTTCAGGAAGCCCCAGTCTTTTTGCTATCACTTTTCTAAGTTCCTCATCCATATAACCTGAATTGTTAAAAGACGGAGGCGATATGTTTCAGGCCTGGTTCGTTTGAAGGAAGTCAATACTTCACTAATTTATCCTCGAAACAAAATCCTGAGCAATCCTCTGAATAGAGACTTCGAGCAATCACTGAATGTTGTAAAACCGAACCCAAAGCAATCATTGAGGCCAATAAGAACACAAGAAAAATATCACAAGGAAATGAACACTCAATGTAAAAACATAGACTATCTGCGGAGGACAACGCGAGTGGCAAAATTCTTAGTGATACATGGTCAAGGGTTGTTAGAGCGTTTTTCAATTTAGCGTCATAAAACCAAAACCAATCTAATATCGACGGCAATCAGGAGAAAGAAAAATATCACAAGAGGCCGATGAGAAGACAAGGTAAAACAGCCAATGAGAACCAAAGTAAAAACAGCAAATGAGAACGCAAGGTAAAAACAGCCAATGAGAAAAAAGGTTTTAATTTTGAACCTGATTAGTTGATCAGACTCACCAGTGCTCTAAGATGTGTAAATTTAGGAAATGATTACAACATGTACCTTCACTCAATGCTCCAAGGCAAAATGCTAATGAAGGAAGAGCTGCTGGAAGAAGCTCGCATAAAGTGGCATAGTGATCATATCTACAAAAAGAGAGTAAAAAAAAAAACATTATCACTTTTATAGCATACCAATCCAGCTGCTCTAGCAGCCGTTCTCAAGTGATTATGCCTCTCAAGAGTTTTTAAGACTTCAATTTAAGAAAGTTTGTAAGATATTCTTAACCAGGAATTGGTCTCTTGGCATGTAATAAGTTTTGCCATTCTCCAGGCTGGCATTTCTTAAACCTGCTGACAGGATTGTGGGCCTGTGGGCGTAACTGACTCAGAATTGCTAATTCCTTAGCAGAGGGATATAACTATGTTATTATGATGGCCCCAAAACAGGATGATTATACAGTAAGATTTAAAAATAAAATATACAAACTTGCAATAATGCAATATTGTTAACCCTTTGAGCCCTACGAGTGACAAGCATCTAATTTCTCCTATAGTATCACCCTGGAATCACAGATCAAGCTCTCATGAATAAAGGAAATGATCAACAACTAAAGAATCTCTTGATTGTTAAGCAAATTCTCCTTGTCAGCACCTTAGGAAATGTACAGAGAACAGTATGAAGAATTATCCTTCTGATATTAGATTGCCAAGGGTTAACAGAACAGAGTTGGCATTAACCACCCCCTGACACACTTAACCCTTTAATTCCCAGAAGTGATTAACATGTAACCTCTCCCTACAATATCCATCCATTATCCAGCAAACAGGTAGTGAGAATACTTAAACTCATCAGATACAAGTTATTACCTTGATCAAACATCAAATTCTTATAACCAATTTACAAGGAAATGTGTAGCAGCTAGAGGGGAGAATTTACAATCAGATCTTGGGAGTTAAAGGGATAAAACAATAATTGAATAATGACATTGCACAATCATACTGCATTACATACCTGCTCCAGCCAGTCAGGGCTACACCATTTACTTCTAGAGTGGATGGTAACTTGGAAATGATATCCAACCAGTATAAATTGTTTTGAACATGAAATCCAATTGGAACAAAGTTGCTCCATGGGTGAGTGGCTCCTTAAGGAAGAAAAAATTTTTAGCAGAAGTAACAATTAAATAACACCTACAACTCAATATCTCTTTGTTTGCTTACAGGAGGTAATATGTTTATAATAAAACACATAAGCATTGAACTCTGTAACTTAATTCATAAGTGACTAGGTTACTGAGCTTCTTTCAACCTGGCAGGGTCTGTAGTTGCATTTTGAGCAAATCTGAAGAAAATTTTTGATGTTTTATGAACTCTTTGTAATCTACAACAGTGGAATTAAGTCACAAATTTTCATATATAATTCTAAAGACTGATATACTAATGTCTTCAAAAGAAATTGATGATTCTCCAAAATTTGTCCATTTTTATAATAAAAAGTTGTCTTCATACAGGATAAAGTTATCTGATTCAAGTTAATGCATAAGTCAAATTAATGTTACCTTTAAAGGCACTTGCAGCCCAAATCTTCTTAAAGGCTTTACCATATCTCTGCCACATATCTTAAGAATATCAAAGGCAAAGACTTAGAAAGCTCACAGTAACCATAAAACATAATTTACATTTTACACATAGCGCACCCTCCAAACTTGATCAACATGACTCAAATAGATTTCAAATGGTTGAAAGAATGTCATGATGATGGATTGGCCAAGGAAAATTAATTTTGTGAGGTAGGCATGTTTATGCTCAGATTGTCTACAACCAAAAAATATTCTGGCCAAATTGTCTATAAGTGCAATGTTAAGGCTGGTAACTTGAATAAGCTCTTTTGATTCCACAAAACTGAGCCATTCTCAAGGGTTTGACTTGGCATTGAGGATGCACCATGGTAGCTGAGTAGAGCTTCAATAAAAGTGAACATATGACCCATCAGCTGGGACAAAACAGTTGTAACAACATGGCCTTTGAAAAGGCAGGTCTGCTCTGATTTAACAATAACAACAACAAATTCTACTTAAAGTTTTACCAGGAGGAAAATAGCCAGTGAGATCAGATCTGTAGGCCCAGACCATTGGCTCAACAAGAGGACCAAGCTCTGTCAAACAAAATGAGAAGAAAATATTAATTCAAAAGACAATAACATAAAATTATTCACCAAAGTGGAGGTAAATAACCACCACTTTCAGCAACACTGAGGTGAATAACAGTTTCAGAATATACCACACAGAACCATGTTTAGTTTACATCTATTTCTTGTTGTCAATAAACAATGGACAGAAATTTAACCCTTAATGTGCAATTTTCTCTCTTAGTCTGCTTGGAGGGGAATAGTCTTTGCAATCACCGCATGCAGAGAGCACTATTCACCACTGTGGCAAATAAAAAGTCATCATTTATCACAGTCAAAACAAAAAGGACAACTGAAAAGTTGGGCAGTAAGGTTTATTCCAAACCTCCCATTAGTGTAAATCCATCCAATAGTTCTTTACCTTTCAAGTATTCCAAAGGCCAGTACCTCATCATGTCATCCCACATGATTGGTGTTACCTTCTTGCCTTGCAAGTGTTTGAGAATGGGTTTCATGTGATGCACAAACAATTCAGATTTATTCCGTGCATCTTTAAGACAGACAGGGCATGTCTTGAGATTCCACACCTGATTGAAAAAAAAAAAAAAAAAAAGACCAATATGAAAATGCAGCAGTTTTAATTCTTGTTATGAAAAAAGTTTCCTGTGCTAAGTTTTCAAATTAGGTTGGTGACTACTATCAAATGCCCTCAACTTGCTACATGTAATTTGCCTGTCTCCATGCAGAGCCCTCGGAACTGAGTACATTCAAAGTCGTTTGTGACACTGCATGCCATTTCCAGAGCCAAATAGCCTGGCATTAAAATTTCAGTCTGCTATTTTGCCCTGCTCTGGCACTCTTTGTGAATAATGGAAGTTCTTATTGTTCTGTATTTGGATTTGATTTAAGGGAAGTTGTAACATTGCGTCAAGCAGAAAGTCGACTTTAAATATAAAAATTTTAACAGTACAGCCATGTGTAATGACCTTCTGTGCCCTGAAAAGTTACTCAATATATAGCAACAGTAGATATCAAATCACCTCATCTCCTCCAATATGAAACCACTGCAAACCAGGATGGAGAGCTAGAACTTGATCAATGAGTTCTATAACCATTGGAACAGAGTCTAGAACAGATGTTATACAAAATTAACCAATATTATGTACTTATTTGTTAATTCTTCAAGTTGGTGGCAATTCACACGAACATACCATTTGGTTTTATTTTTCCAATTTGTATCACTAACCTTTGTTATTTGGGCATAATGAATTAGTGTAGTGTTCTGTTTCACGAAGATAGGCAAACTCCTTGTGCTTCAAGACAAACTGAATGGAAAGGAAGGTAAATTTTACAACAGATTATGTACATATAAATTACACATGCATGGTTTACTTTAAAAAAAAAAAAAGAATAAAAATAGTTAATTTTTTTTATTAAAATGAAAAAATTAACTATTGAAAAAAAAAAGTACTACTGCATGATGTACAAGTCGTAGATTAAATTTAAAAAGATTGAGAAAATTGGTCCTGGTTTTTTTGCTTTTAAAAAATTGTTTGCTTCCTGGAACAGATAATGTCTGCACACAAATATCAAAACAAACTTTTAAACCAAGTAGAGGCTATAATGCATATATATTAAAATTATCATAATTGTAAACTTAAAATTACCAAGTTGCTGGGGCTACTCATCCACCCTAAAGTATTGAGATACTTATTGCAATCATCAGAGCTTCACTGGCTGCTAAAAGAATTAACTGAAATTGCTAGGAAAAAGTATTTATCTGAATATTTATATTGACTTTACCTCCAGATGACCAAATGTCTGTACCAGTGGAATTACAATAAGATCATTTGCTGCTGCTGTCTCCAGCAACTGTTTTATTTCAGCTTCACTGCAAATACAAAATCAAATTATAATTTCTTTTAATCCTTTAACTCCCAGAGGTGATTAACATGCAAATTCTCACTATAACATCCATACAATATCCAGCAAACAGGTTGTGAGAACACTTGAGCATATCAGGAAGAAGTTGATATGAAAATGAGTAAGCAGCTAGAGGAGAGAACTGCTGATTAATCACAATGTGCAAAACCATAGTACCCATAAACTTTCTTCAGGTTTGATATCAACAGCAAGGAATCTTCAAATGCACATGTCTAAATGATAAGGTATTCTAAATAGGAATTTACGACACATCTTTTTCTTACAGTTATAAACAGCATTAACCTGTATGAGTTTTTAGCCTGTAAGACTTCATATTTTGCCTTGTAGGGAAACATATCTTCATACTCAACCAGCAAACCAGTTGCTCCCCACTTCTTAAAATATGGCAGCACCTACACAGGTTTACAAATTGATAATATTCAATTTATAATTATCAAAATTAATGACAGATATCACATTTTATGATATATTGTTACTGGCAAGTAATTATCAAATCTTGTAAAAAAATATCAGTTATTTTATAATTAGAATTAACTAATTAATTTTGTAGGTATAATTCAGCAGTGTTGATTTAACCGTTGTAAAACATTTTTTGTGAACCTGATAATGTGGTCATGTAAATTTACATTCTGCAAGTATAGTACCCTGATTCCATACAGGGAGAGAGGGGCAGGTACCAAATGGATAAAACTGAATAGGCCATAATTGGCAAACCTGTTTCCAAACATGTTTTCAAGCATATTACTGGATAATAACACATAAATTTCTCATCTGTAATTATTACATATAGAGTTCTCTTTTTATATGTAAGGTGCATGAAGTTGCTCCAATCAGTATACGATACCTGTGTCAGAAAAGTCATTTTTGTTGGTGCTCCTTTCAAATCCAAATGAACAAGTTTGTGACCACTAAATCTGAAGATTCAAAATTGACAACAAATATCACTTTTATGGTCATCAAACTGCATAATTGATAATTGACCCTTTAATTGTCATGAGTGAACTAGACATAACTTCTTCTTACAATATCAACACAATATCATGCAAATAAGTACTAAGAATATAAAAATATATATCAATTAGAGGATTAGGGGATTATTAATTGACCCAATACCAAATTCTCCATTACAGTAATTTAATAAGTAAACATAACAATTGTATAGCAGACAGTAGGGAGAATTGCTAATGATATCATGGAAGTGAAAGAGGTTCAGCAATGCACTTAAACAATGAAGGTCAAAATTTAGTCAAGAGAACTTATTAAATAACAAAAATTTCCTGCCAATAACAAACAACTAGTCTAAATTCAATGCATGAGCAAATATGCCACTGGAAATACTGTTTTCACAGGCTGCCTATATTTATATCATAATTTGCAAAAAGAACTCAGTTTAAATTTCTCTCACTGAACATATTTGATACAGTCTGAAGAAAGGGATGAGAACTAACTTTCTTTTGACAGGTTCCATGTCTTTTTTCTGGACTGTGTCTCTTGATACTTCTGCTTCTGCAAGCTGCTTTTTAAGAGCCTCTATAGTTTCTTGAGCTTGCCTCAGACTGACATCAAACAACCCAGCTTTTGCAACACTGGCTAGTGATTTTAAATCTATTGAAGATTCTAAGGAGAAATTGAAAATGCAGTCTGATAGAACATCTACCATAATAATTGTATAATAATGCCTTTCATATGCTAGAACCATTGCGCTTCAAACTAAAATAATAATTAAATAAAAAACAAATCAAAATGTTCAAATATGATTCGTTTTTAATATTATTTTACTTCCACTGATGTACTGGAAAGTAAAGCTAGATTCTTACTGGAATTGCAATCCTTAAGCTTTTTGGGAACCTGTGCATGTAGCAATGTTCTGTTCACCGCTGGGTGGGGCACTTATGGCTGTGAAACTCCTGGGTGTGGAAGTGCTTCTGATGCAAATTTGCACAGCATTAATCACAAGTGAACATAATAACTTACATTGGGTGAAGGTTTGGTGTCTAAAAAAATTAATTTTCTTAAAGAACCGAAAAGTTTTCTTCGATTCTGCAACGCACTTCAGTGAAGTTGACGACGGAACAGCGCCATTTACAACTGAGCTTCAATTATGGTGAGAAAAAAATGTTAATGTAACCACTTTCGGGAAACGAAAGAAATTTTTGGCCCGTGCAATATACCTCAGTGGAAGTAACAAATATTATCATGAACTGTTCATATTAAGCTGAGAACTTAGCCCACCTGTAGGAAGCTTGTTGCTGGTCCGTGGGGTGACACTTGCAGGCAGGTTTCTTTCTGAAGAGTAGTGCGATAGTTTGTAAAGATATAAAAGCACAACCACGAGCGAAAAAATTATTCCAACGCTAGTGTAGTTGATTCGCATTATATTCATGAAAGCCAGCTGTTAAAATGAACGATCGAACTTTTAGGGTATGGATGATTTCATTCCGAACTGTCTCCCGATCTGGGACCAATCTTACCCAGAGCCCGCCGTTTTTACAATCAGCAGTAAAATGAAACAAAGTTAGTCCTATCATGTATGGATCATATAAACTGATCATGTTAGCGGTTGAAGCTATGGACGCGCGAGGGCATGGGACAAAGTTAAGCAAAGGGTGGAGCGTTAGTTTATATCGCTTGATTATTTTTTCGGTAAAATTTCCGCACTAGCACATCCTATTGTAGAACAAATCTGTTTTTCCAATGGAAATGTGTTGTTTTTGTTCATTGTTTTCTCTATCCAAGAACTGAATGTATAATGAAGTATGGGGCTGTTCGGAAATTTTACCATTTTTTCTGTAACGTAAATTCAATATAAATTCAGAGATTAATTCAGGAAATGTAAAAACTAAAACAATTGAAAGGTAAAAACTGAGCAATTGAAAAATAAAAACTAAAACAATTCAAAGGTTAACTAATGCGAAAAAAGCGTCATTTTGTTCCATTTGAACAAACAAAAACAATGACGGTGCTTCTAATAGTTCTTTGTGAATCAATAGCTAATTAATTTCGAGGTCAGTTTTAACAACAGCAACTTTGTGTAGTGAAACAAACACTGCAGCGCAGTAGTGCGATAGCTGAGTTTCGATCTACGAAAATTTTATCTTTGAGCTGATGTACATCCATGAAAACTCAGCGTATAATCGCACTTCATTTGGCCCAGGCAGTGTATGTTTACTCAACTCAGTTTTTTTAAAACACCTGGGCTATTACACTATTTATTCACATGGATCTATTGGACTCACAATTCAGTGCCATTTATTTTGCAGTGGAACTGTTTGAAACTTTTTTGGTCCCCAAAGGTAACGGCTTTTATTCTCTCACTTTGAATTTATGGCAAAGTTGTATCAAAACGTTGCTTATATCTTTTCATGAATACGCTTTCTATCAGTTGAAATATTTGCGTAATTAATTTCATTTATTGATAGACTGAAAAAATCGTCGTTCAGTGTATGACTTCTTTGTGCTAAGCCCGTCGATGAAACTTAATATGATCTGTTTCGTTAAAAAATATTTAAGGGTCAGGAAACGCACGTTTTGTTACACCGAGATGGAGAGCGGGAAGGAGGGATTATCCATAATTCCCAAGTGGCTGAAGACTCGGAATGACCCTGTAAAACATCTGAGTATACAATAAACTTCAAGATTGAGAAATTATATTTTAAAATAAATTATATCTTCCCGAGACGAGAAATTCATTTTCTTCCATAATTTTATCGTGTAACCATGTAGCTGAACGAAGTCAACCGATATGACACCTCTTCAGTTGGAATCCACCTTAGAATGCATGAATGGAAATCTGCCGTCGTGGATCCAGCCAACAAACGGAATGAGAGAGAAAGAGAGGAAATAATCAAAATACTATCACAGGGAAAATCATTAAATTGCTAGCGTTGTGAGGAGTAGCAGCCATTTAATACGCGAAGGTCTATAAACTGAAGCTTTTGTTGCAACAAAGGGAATAACTTCACCGTGCTTCAGTTACGAAGATTTTGTTTTATTTTCCACAGTGCAAGCCTCCCTCTGTCTTGAGTGAACCCAAAGCTTACAAGCTCACTTCAGATAACGAAGTGAATCGTTTTCATCGTTTTGTTCAAAGTCAGCAAGAAATTACATATCGGCAAATAACATCAAGAAGTGTGGGTCATCGATGGCTTTTCCCTCTGAGGCTGAAGGCATCGTTTGGTGCAGTATTTTTACATTTGCATCCGCCTTGATTGTCATTGGAAATCTATTGACTATTATCCTCTTTGCAGTAAACAAAAGACTTCGTAAGAAAAGTTTGGTTCTTGTCATCAACATGGCGGTTGCTGATCTGATGTTGGGAGCTGTATCTCTACCTCTTTACATTTACTTGGTTGGTATATCCGATTATCAGCTTTGGACTGAAACTCTGGACCTGAATGTTCCCTTTTTAATCGCTGATATCCTTGCAACGAAAGCGTCATTAATATCTGCAACCTTCATTTCTTGTGAGAGGTTTTACGCTATATATTGGCCGTTTAAACACCGAACATTAACGACTCGAACATACTATATTGTAATTTTCATAGTCTGGACTTTAGCTCTCCTTAATACTTGCATATTTCAAATGTCCAGCCTGCGAAAACTTTTTCCCTATATTTTGTTGTCACTCGGTTCGACCTCAGCGATTATCATATGCGGTTGTAACATCGCTATCTGGAGAAAGTTTCAACTTCAAGGAATTGCGCAGGCTCGCAACATCAAAACAGGGACTTACAAAATGAACGCCTGACAAAGATTCTATTGTTTGTTTCTGTCCTTGCATTGCTATGTTGGCTTCCTTATATTATTGTTACCAGTTTAATTTTACTATTAGATTTCAACTTTATGATATCGTGGAGATGTCTTGTTATAATCGACTTTGTTAATTATGCCAACGCATTTGTAAATCCAGCTGTGTATACACTGAGAATACCACAGTTTCGACAAGCTTTATCTCGGTGCTGTTTGGTCAAGCGAGTTGTGGTGAACAGCGAAAATTCTGCAACTGGCCAGGGGGATGAAGCGTCCTCAAGGGCGCCGATATCACTTATAACATTACAAACTGAGTCTGGACGTGACCTGCAACCACTGAAGAATGAGGAAATTATGGAAACCAAAGTGTGATCAACCAAAAATTAAAAACAGAGTTAAAATGTGCAAGAGAATATAAGCTATATATTCTCTTTAAATAAGTCATTTTAAAATTGCCTCAGTGCTTTGTAATCTAACCGTGTGCATGAGTTCTTAAGAGATCAGAGAAAGGCTTATCTAGAGAATCTGACCATTATTAACAAACCTCATTTTATTTTGTGCCTTTTTTTCGTAAGGTGAATTTAATTCACGGAAAAAATAGCGGAGTAGCATACTCATTTTAAAGAGCCAGCTTTTTCGATTGCTGATCGAGCTCGTTGGTATACTGGCGCTTCTAAGAACTTTGGCTACTAGCAGCTGCCTATGCTGACTAAGGCCCGCAGTTATTTCGGGTCAGCGTCAACTCTTACAGAGATTATCATCTCTTATCATGTGAATCATAAAGATTCGCGAATGGAGAAGGAATCAAAACTTAACTATAGCACGCTCCTATGACTTATAAAATATAAATCTCACATGGCTTTTTCAATCCTTGTTATGTTTCTTGATTAGGCTTTCATACTTCGTAGTGAAAATCAGTGAGATATTTTTAATTGCCTAAGTAATCAACGAACACATCGGTTGACAACGTCTGTAAGACATGTCTGAATAATAAATAGCCAAAATACAACATGAGAATCAACGTATACCGTAAGTCATCAACCTTGGATGGCGCTTTTCTCTGCGACCTGAGCCAAAAGCCCGAATTATGAAACGCATACAAGGCAATGAATTAGAAAAATAATTAACAAATGAAGTGAAATTTACCAAATAAGTGCAAAATATATGTGAAATATGCTAAGGATATCGATATATAGTGAAAGATGAACTATCCCCTTAACCCACTGAAGTAAACAAACTAAAATTCAAGTTCAGAATCCTATTTAAAATTTCGGCCGAAAAGAGGGGCCCTATTGGAAGGAGAACGTCTAATCCAGGGGGTATTGGTTCCGCTAAAGTTGAAGCTTAAAAAGTTATAAACTGGAGATAATCTACTGGAGTCTCCTTCCCTGTGTTGAATTGTTACTGTGCTTCATGTAACCGAGAACGTGAAACAGTTTGAACATAAATTTTGGTACATCTGCTATATCTATATTTTATACTTTTAGCTCTGATCTTTTTCCTGGCTGTGAAAATTGTTTTTTCAGCTCATAACGAACACGGAAGTTGTAGACTCACCAGAATTCACAAAATTATTTGACCGAGGAAGTGTAAGAATATTAATGCGGCAGAAAGCAAACAACTTAGGTCATCCAACAATCTTCACGTATGAAAACTTGTCATCAAAATTTGTTTAGCCTAATAATTCTTTCTAAAATTCAAAGTTAATGATTTTAACTAGTCTTTCAGGCATGTGCTAGCTAAAACAAATCATCAGAGGAAGACTTTTCTGACACCTTAAAGTCTACGCAGATAAATTTCTGAAGTCCTTCGGGCACGTAGCAATAAACAATGTTTAATTGACATATTTGACATCCGTTCTAAACTTTCAGAACAATCCAAGGGAGTACTGGTTCCGCTGAAGCTGAAGCTCAAAAATTTATGAAAAACAGTTGCAATTGACATGTTTAACATCCGTTCAAGAATTTCAGAACAATCCAGGGGAATATCGATTCCGCTAAAGCTGAAGCTTAAATGCTTTTTAAGGAAATAAGAGGCTTACCGAAATATCCGCAGTTTGACTTCGACCGCGACCCATCCTTATCAACGCAGAGCTATCCTCTACCTCTCTTTAAAACTAAAACGGTTACATACATTCTGACAAAAGTCAGCGATGAATGAAACAAAAGCAGTAAACTTCAGCGGAGACAACAGATCTGGGTTATCAGATGAAATTCCTTCCAAAGCTGAAAGCATCGTTCGGTGCGGTGTTCTTGTATTGGCATCTGCCTTGATTGTCATTGGAAACATACCCACTATCGTTCTCTTTGTTGGTAACAAGAGACTTCGCAAGAAAAGTCTGTTTCTCGTCATCAATATGGCGGTTGCAGATCTGATGTTGGGGGCTGTATCTCTTCCTTTCTATATTTACCGAATTGGCGAGGTCGGTTACCACCTATGGACAGCATCAATGGACATTTATCTCGGATCTTTCAGTGTTATTGCTGATAACGTTCCTACAGTAGCTTCACTAGTATCTGCGACCTCCATATCCTGTGAAAGGTTTTACGCCTTATATCGGCCGTTTAAACACCGATCCCTCACGAAGCGAACATACCTCATTATAATTCTAATGCTGTGGACAATTTCCGCCCTTGATACCGCCCTCTATTTTCTTTCATTCCACCTTCGTTTTCGTGAACATTATAATTATTATTGGTTGACTTTGGGTTCGATATCAATTGCTATCATGTGTGGTTGTAACATCGCCATATGGAGAAAATTTCGACGCAGAACTGTCCCTGGAACACAACATCAAAATAGGGACTTACAAAATAAGCGTCTGACGACGACTTTGCTGTTTGTTTCTATTCTTGCCTTGCTTTCTTGGCTTCCATATATTATTTCAAACACCTTAGTAATTCTAACTGATCTCAACATACCTCAGAGATATTTGGTGGCTATTAATTTTGTCAACTATTCGAGCGCATTTATAAATCCAATTATATACGCATTTAGAATACCAGAGTTTCGCCAGGCGTTGGCTCGATCATTTGTAAGGCGGCGAGCTACTGCGAAAGTTGAAAACATTGAAATAGGGGTTGATAAAAGAGCTGCTTCGACGAAAGTGACACCGCTTAGAATATTAGAAGGTGATGTTAGGTTCGATGTGGAAGTTGTGGATACGAGCCTTTAAGAAACCAAGAATAAGAAATATAAAGGCCACATCAAAGTGCCTTTTTTAAAACAAGTTTGGTCATTTCGGCGATGTAACATTACCTGTTGTTAATTAAGAGAGAGACTCTTTGTGAAAAGCCCTACAATCACCTTTCATATTCCGTTATTTTTTAATTAATAAACGACAATAATTTTCTCTTTGTTTGTAGGGCGTATTGCATATGCCAAAAAATAGACATTTTAAATGAAAAAATAAATGATTATCATAAGGTACTTTGCAATAATTATCAGGAGTAAAAGTGGACCGGGGGAGTTGAAAAAAATTAGACGGGTGGGGGGGGTGACTGACCCTAAGCCATCTCTGTGATGAGAAAAAAAAATCAAGACAACCTGAGGCAGACTCAGCCATGTATAGCTTAGTGGATAGGAAAGAAAAATTAGTAAGCCAAGTTCTGGCTTGCATTCAAGCTGTTTAAAATATCATGGAAACCGAAGGTAATGACAAATATAGTGCCGGACTTGCAGCCGCAATCCAGCGATTCAGACTCAGACGGATCGGATGTGGGGCGGCCTTGTTAAACATAATTATGAACTACGTAGAGAGGGGTGGGGTGGAATAACTTTTGGGGGGCGTCCGATTGAGGTAAGAGTTCAACTTACCTTTGTTAATGGAGGTGAGGGGGAAGGGGGGGGGGCACCTACTAATTCTTTGTGTCTTTCCTATTTTTTTGGGTGCCTCTCTTCTGATAAATATTTCCCAGTTCGTAATCAGGACTTGCCTTTTTAATAAATGTTTTCAACCATACGTTTCGAAGTCCTCTTTGGGAAAAAAAAAAAAAAAAGAGGTAGTGAATGAATTATTTGTTTGAAGATATTACGCTGATGAGGTCTAATTGAGGTCTAATGAGACCGAAACAGCTGTTCATGGTTTACTTCAGTTCTTAATCTCCCTAAGAAAAAAAAAACAATGATTCAGTGTCTCAAAATTATCGCTTTAAGGCGCATTCTGTGGCCGCAACATATAATTTTGAAACATTAACGTAGCTCTGATAGTATTTTTTTCACAGGAACCAAGTTTTAATGTCAGGTTTTTTATGCAAGTATACAGGTTTATGTCACCCGTCACTACCAGTCACTATCAGACATATGCCAAATTCGGCGACACACCGTTGTATAGATTGGAAAAAGTTTTTACTCTTCTTGACATTTTTACTGACCATTTGGGTCGAACTTAACTTTGTCTATACCATGTTCAGTTTCTAAGTAGGCGTAACTATTCCTTGAAGCTTGCAGATAGGAAAATTTATGTCGAAGTGATCAAAAATCAATTAGCATATTATGACCTTTATTAATTATTCACAAGCGCCAAACAGTCAAATTGGTGATATGCACTCCGTCTCGCAAAGAATTGCGTCGTCGCAAGTATGATTTAATGATCTAACAATTTTAGTCGCAGCTAGCTTACGGGCAGGCGAGAAGTCTGCAAGGGGTTTAACACAGGTAATATTGAGGTATCAGACTCCCGGTAACTACTTCCTGGCTCTTCTAAGATCTCTCCGCGGGAGGAGAAAGGCGCGTCCTGCAGCGATAATAATCATGTAATAATAGGGACCTGCTTGCCTACTAAGACGCAGCTGACATTCGTCTTTTCCTCTATGGACTGACGCTCTCCTCTTGGGGAATCAACCACAGCAAACATATCACAGAAAAATTCGTGAAGACATCCGCAGCTTTCTATTTGCGATCTCAGACCGTCTGAAAGTTTTCAGCGCGTGAAGCGACCTAACCTACCAGTCGGCGACAAGTAGTTTTGTAAATGAATAAAGGAGTAAGTTTCCAAATAAACTGTGCTGCCTCAGTGGAGGGTATTACCAGAGAATTTTGTTTTATCCTAGTTGCTAATGTAAATTTGCCACCATAAAAGTTTCAAGAGCCGGCGTTTCGATCATTGGCCCTTCATCAGAGCGAATGAAAATGGTCTTCCCTGTCATTTGTCGTTTGTTTGAGGCGAGTCCTTGGGAGGCGACCTTAAATTTCATGTCTGAACCAAGGCTCATGGGAGTATTGGGTTAGCAAACGGTTCCGATTGTTTAATTACACCCGCAGACTGTATCAGAATATTTCACTTCAATTCATTTTTCTCAGTATAGGAGGAGGGAACCACAGGCGACAATTTCTTATCGAAGAACAAAAGTCTTCGACGTTTTCCTGGAAGTGAATAATTTATTGCCGACAAACAGCGACAAAGAAAACATCACAACATGTTAAAAGATACTTATTTTAGCGAACGCTTAACGAAGACAACTTATTGAATTTTTCTATCGATCCTTTCTCTACTACACATTGTATTCCTTTACCAAGCTTAATTTTTCTTTATTGACACAAGGTTCGTGACTACTAAAAAGACGCTATACCAGAGGAGATCTAAGCATGATTAAAATTGATGCAAACGTTTTTAAAAAAACTGCTTTTGGATAATGAGTTGTCATAAAAAATGTGGCGATAATGTTTAATATATTTTTTCTCTTCGTTTCCTTTCAGCTCACTGAGATTTAAGCTACTACGTCGTACTGACAGTCAGTACTTCTATTATTGCCTAAAACTGAGGAAACTATCCCCTTAAACTTCAGAAACGACAAAATTGTCTGATCATGTCCTTCACTCCAGCTCTCACTCCTCTAATCTTCCAGCAGTAAAGTATCGGGTTTATTGATGAGTTCGACAAAAACAGAACTCCTGTGATGTACCATGCCAGATCAATTGCCGACGCATGAGGGCTATTACTAACATCAATGACTGCACGTAATGCTATGACTGTAGAAAATGGAAAATAGCAAAAAAGTAATGTGAACTGTATCCATAACGCGCTAGTCACTGTTCTACTGTACCAAGCCATATTCATTTGGAATTTTTGTTCTCGTGGCTGGAAGACACGCTTTTGAACTTGAATTTGGTGGTTGCGTAAGGTTAGATAAATTCTCAAGTAACAGAGACTTGCTGTCAAAAGGCACAACAATAATGTTACAGCAGTCAAGGCTGCAGCAATGCGAAATTTGTACAGCCACAACATTGAACCGATAACGGTGTAAAGGGTAAAAACAGCCAGAAGAGTCCGTATTCTTGTAAGTGTGACCATGGTTCTGTATCTCATTCTTAGTACCAAAGCCAAATATCTGTCCACACTGATCGCAGTCACTGTTAGCACCGAGACTCCTCGTAAAATTGTGCTCGTGAGGACATACGGGATTTGTAGATAGAGACAACCTTTGGAGTGTTTTGGGGAGAATATGAAGGCGACTAACAGAGGCTGTGTAATAAGACCCGAGCACAGATCAGTGAACACAAGGCAACTGTACAGAAGCTTTGAGGAAGGATGAAGGCACATGGAGCTGCGGACCTTCCAAAGTACAGTAATAACCAGAAGATTGCCCAAAAACGCCGTGATGGAGAGAGGAATATTCAGTGCTATAAAAAAAATCTTCAGGTTTTGCCACTTTGGACTTAGCATGCAAAATGGAGACTCTGAAATTGTCGCTGGGCTCCCTAAATCTTCTGTTGTGTTGTTTAAGGTCGTCATATTTCAAAGATGTCTATTAAGGCTGAAGAAAGTTATGGCGAGAGTTGATATTCTGTTAACGAAAGTCAGTATTTATCTTCAGGCCTCCCCAACAATCGAATCGGCAATCAATACTTCTACAGGAGGATATCATATAACACTTTTCCAAAGCGTTGTCCTAACGATGAAAAAAAAGACACAGCAAAACTTATTTCAAATGAGAAAAAAATTTGTTTTTATGAAAGATTCACGAAGGTGACTGAACACAAACAACCTTTCACGAGTGAAAATCAAGCTTGTTATCTCTACGAGACTGCAACATGAATTAAATATACCAGCTTATTCTAGTGTTATAACAATTATCCTCTTTTAAGCTTCAGTTTACGTCGCTACAGGGGATGGGTAGATTGAATTTTCACAAAATTTTCAGTTCCCCTTCGATGAGAGCGAAACTGGAGATGACCTACTGGACCGTGTCCTTCCCTATGTTTAACTGTTACGGCGCTTTATGTTGCAGAGAATGCTCAAACAGTTTAAACATAATTTTTGATTCGTCTGTTATATCTATATTTTTAGTTTTAACTCTGACCTTTTTCTTGGCTGTGAAGGTTATTTTATAACGAAGGAGAAAGTTGTAGACACACCAGAATTCACAAAATTATTTGACAAGGGAAGTGTAAGAGTATTAAAGCAGGAGAAAACAAAAACTTGGAACTCATCCAATAACCTACAGATGAAAACCTGTCATTAAAATTTGTTTAGCTTAGTAATTAATTATTTCTAAGATTCAAAGTTGATGATTTCTAGTGGTTCTTTCAGACATGTACCGGTGAAGAAAAAATCCTCAGTGGAGGATTCTGGTACCTTAAAGGCTGCACAGATAATTCGTGAAGTCCTTCAGGCGCTGAACAATAAACGATGTTTAATTGACATGTTTAACATTTGTTCTAGAATTTCAGAATAATCCATTATCGTTAAAACCTTAGAAGGCACCGATGCGACACTTCTTAAAAGTGCTTAGTTCAGTTTGATGTCTGAATATTTGAATTAAGTTTAACCGTTGTTTAACAAAACCGCGTCCCAAACAATCCTCAATTTGGCTGAACCTTTTACCTAAACATTTGTTTTTGTGAACAGCGTCAAGAGGGCCGAAAGAAAACAGTAGAAGGACATTTATTTAATTAAATCAACCCTCCTATAGAAGACGCCTGAGGCCCCTGATTGCGTAAAACCGTGCTTTAAATTAAACATCGAGTAAATAACCGGCCCTAATATTTTATTCCGCCATTATTATAAAATAAAATTAAGTTAGACTTTTCCATACATTTGACGGTCACAATTGGATTGCAGAACCCAGTCAATTTGATGACAACATTCCTTTGACTGTAAAATAATAATTCATACATGCACCCAATGGACTGAGAAGAAAAAAAACTGAACATGTTTGCTACGACAAATATTGCTTGCTTTTAAAGACATTAAAGATGATTATCAGATGCCCGTTTTCTTCCTGTTTCCCTAAGTATAGGGACACAGCGGTGAATGCAAAAAAGATTTCAATCATAAAGAGATGTCGAAAAACAAACAGGTCGAACATTCGATATTTTCTCCTAGCTCAGTGTCTACCAATGTGCATGTTAAGCGAATTCAACCCCTTTATTTTAATATGGAGATTGTTTTCCAGACAAGAACACGAAGTGCATGGATTAAATTTTATATATGGCAACTACGCTTTCGATGAAATGTTACAATTGATAGTAAGACAATATGGCATTTCTCCTCGCTCTCCCGAATCCCTTCATTTCTCTCTTTAGACTATTTTCGGATAGAACATAACGCTACCGTGTCAAAGGTTTTTACTCATTCAAATGATTCGTTTCCATTTATTTCATTTTGAGTCCGCTGTGCACGTTTAATCGAGCCGCGACGTTTGTCACAGTTTTTAAGTGTGGAATGTGTTTCAAAGTGAGTAGAAGTCTTGATTAATTCCGCCTTTCTAGCTTGACTGTGTTGTGCACTTGACATCTTGGTCGACAACTTTTAAAATTGGAACAGAATTAAAGATCCAAAGCGGAAGTACTAATGAATTTTTAATGCAAAAATAAATATTGTTTGTTTACATTCTTTAGTGGCGCTGGCATGGCCATCAACTCGGAATTGACATACGCTTATCTACAGGCCTCTTTTTACTTTTAATCTGGTTCAATGGAATATATGATTTTTTAGCAAACAGTTCATTATCTAGTGTTAGAATAATCTTTCATCCCTTTGGCTCAGCCCGCACAAAAAATAAGCGACCCATTCTATCAGGACTTATCACGGCTTCCATGACGACCAGGAGTACTGATGCTCCCTAATGAGTTTAACCTGTATCCTCAGTATCATCTCCTATTTGAGAGTTAAAAGTCTCGCTGAAAAAAACACACACACACACACACACACACACACACACACACACACACACACACACACACACACACACACACACACACACACACACACACACACACAACTCAATGTTTTGCTTAGGGTTGGAACCCAGATCCTCTCGAACCTTAAACAACCGCGTTCACCATTCTCCCTCCCGCACCTCATGGGTAAATGGAGTTAATAAGCGGAAGTCCGTTCGTTATCAAAGGTCCACGATAGACTCCTAGTAAAACGCTATTCAAATTGAAAAACGCAAGTTAATTGATAGTTTAAAACTTGAGCGAAACCAAAAAAGAGTATTTTGAGATAGAAGAGGCAAAAATTGAGGGGAAAAGAATGCGTGTAGTGATTGAACGAGAAAGATAAGAAAGTAATTTGGTCAGAGCGGAAAAGACGAACACCAAGTCACACGACACCCCTTTACATTTCCGCCACGTTAATTTTTACTTTCTGTCCTACCATCAAGCTCCAGTTTACAGTTGTTAATGCAAAAAATGAAGAAAACAACCAAAGTCCAATTATCTTGCCCTCGGTTTGGTTAATGGTGCGTTTGTTCTTCAATCGGTGGGCACATGAACAATTCGTTGTTGCACTTGTAGCTGAGGAAGTAATCAGGAGCGTCAGTTTTTCCGAAGAAAAAAAATTTCTATGAAGTTAAGGATACTTATTTCAATTTTTTTATTTTATTTGATCCTTACATCAGATTTTTCGATTTAAAAAAACTTTCTTGATTAAAAATCCTTGGAAAGTGGACGTTGAATATGGGAATATTGGTGAAAACAGTAAGGATTCACGTTTCCCGTATATCGCTCCAAACTAGGGAAATTGGGTATGGCAAGTGCGATAGTACTAATTTTGAGGAAAAAGAGAGAAAAGAAACACTCAAACTGGACATTGCATTAGCCGTTTAATTCTAGGAAGCTTTACAAAATCCTATATTAAAAAGAAGGTTTTAATGTCGCTTTACGCTAATTCTCGTCCGTCATAAACAAGTTTCCTAATGTTTTCTCCTTAATTGGATCACGTCTCATTAGGTCAAATTTAAGAGGTGATGTTTACAGAAAGTGTTGAATCAGTGGATGATGATTATTATAGCGTTATCAAGGCACTTAAATTTTAATTAAGATTACGAGAGCTTTGTATTGGTGGAAGAAAAACGAACGGAATAATGATAATACTCATTTAGTGACAATACGATTTGTAAAAGGAGCTTTTTTAGATATTTTTTTCTCATTTTTCATGGCTGTAAAAGTTGTGTTTATAAAAATCTTGATGTTGATTTAGCTTATCTTGTTTTCAATTTTAAAGTGACGAATACAATCGCGAGGAACAGGAATGTATCTCGAACTGATGTAACTAAGGTTGCAATACTGTGGGTCATGTCAACTATAATTTCTCCCAGTTTAAAATACCTCACGTGTAATATCTTTAGATGTATAATACTAAAAATTGATCAAAAGTATTACGAATAAACAACTGTTAACAATTTGTACTTTTATAACCAATTATGATGAAAAATGTTTCCTGAATGGTTGTTCATGTCTCGGAATAAGACAGTTTCAAGTGGCAAAAGTTTGAAATATAACGCTTTCTTTTCTTTGAAGCCTGGCAAAAATTTCAAGCATAGTGCATCATCTTGATTTTGCAGTAAATCTTTCAAAAACCGAGGCAAACTCTTCAATCGGCTTTAAATACATTGCAAAACTTGAAAACCTGAATAAGCCATGAGAAATTAACAAATCCACAAATTTATCCCGAGATTTTTCTGTTGAATGACAAGCCAGTTCTTCGGAAGCAAGAAATTGACTGTGAACACGGTAGCTTAGTGGATGGTATAAAAGTGTGAATTTAGTTTCTATATCTTACAGCCTCTCTTAAAACATCTGTATTGATTCTGATCTTATTAAAAGCAAACATTACGTAACGTTTTCGAGAGGAACATTTTCTTTCAGCGCAAACAAATCGGCTCGGCAATCCTTAAATCGAAATTAAAAACAAACTATTTACGCAGAAATTGGAAAATTTAAACTGTATAACGCTTTTCAACTTAGTTTTTTAATTTTGTTCGTAGACTTTTTTTCAACCTAATCGATTTTAAGTGTCTTTAATAACAATTTTATGTGTCGTAAAAACAGGTACGGTCTCCTGTGTAAATAGAGCCTTGTTTAAAAAAGAGAATGGGATTATACAGAGGCCACTTTCCGAGTGGGCCTCTGGGCAATAGAGGGAAAATAACGGAAGCCCTCTTAAAACAATAAAAGAAAAGCTGAGGTAAGTAATTCTTTTCTTTTCTTTAGTGAGAATCTAATAACTCATTTTATGGCTTTCTGTTACATATTCTTCTTTTTAGTTTAAGATAAAGATAAAGATTTTAAGCCATAAGCTCCCGCCTTGAACCAAGGCGGACCGTAGCCCACTTTTCTGTTCTTGGCTAAAGAGGTGTTAGAGATTTTTTGCAGAAAGGGGAAAGAAATTTTGTTAAAGAAAGCTCGTCCTAAGGTTAAAGGAAATTCGTCTACATCGAGTCGTAGATTGTTTCAGAATTTAAACAAGTTTAATGGCGAGTTAACTTGTCGAAGTCAGATATCGTTTTTAATTTTAGAAAAATAATGAACATTTTTTCGGAAAATACTTTCAATCAGAAAAATCGACAGACCTCAGGTGAAAGAAAACTTGCACGCATGTATATGCGTTAATAACCAATCGTGAGGTCAAGATTGCTGGATACAAAGTTCCGCAAAAAAAAAAAAAAGGACGAGGCAAATGTCTTGAGCCATTGTGACCGAACAAGCTTGGTTATGAAAGATTTATCATGTGGCAAAGGATTATCCTTTTATTAGAATCAAGAACGACTTGAATGAGTTCTTCATTGTCAAAACAATAATTCTGGGAATTCGCTTTACTCATTACAGTAGTAATCTGGCCTGCTATGTATCTGCAGGTAATGAGTTTTTCATACTCTGAACATTCTGCTAAGAAACTACTAACATTATGCGGTTGCGATCCAAAAGCAGGCTCAGGTGTTCTAAGGTCCTTTTGCCCATTCGCGAACAAAGAGAGCTAATAAAGATAAATCGAAAAAATTATATGATTTTTAATAGAGAAACAAATTACAACTATTTAAGTCAATTTTCGGGTCTTTTGAAAGCGGGCATAATTAACGATCTATAGCTTGAGTCAATAGGTTATATACATCGGTGATTTTAATATCGTTTTACCACCTAAACATAAGCTTGTTTCCAAAGAAGATAATCAATGAGAAAATTTTTTATTACCTGGATTTAATTTATCTAATATATGAATTTTTACACCTCTTTAATAAATTAATTTTTCTTGGTCTCTTTATTTTTCCCATAATATCTTTTTTTATTCTCTATATAAACTTATAAGACATTAGTGGGAATTGTTTTTCGCAGCGTGCTTACCTTTATCAGAGATGTGGATTCCTCTTCTCGTGCTGGCTGTAAACTTGCTCTTTGTCTATGGGAAGAAAGGTTTGGTTTTCCTCTCTTTTATGTCAAAGTGCCCATCTTCAAAACTCTCCTTACATATTAATCCGAATCCACGAGTCCAGTCCTAGTTTCAAAGGCTTGGTTACTCTTTACTTCAATTAAACAAAATGGCGGCTGACGAGCCATGGTTGTGCAGTGGTTATTGATTATCCATTTTGAGAATTAGCCTTTGTGCAAGAGAAAAAAAGAAAGCGTGAGAATGGACTCTTTGAATTACTTGCAAAAAGTGTCCATGAGATTTTTCCCAAAACCAAAAGAATACAACTCTATCAGAGGAAGGTACAAATGTGTTTCTAATAGTATGAGCTGGGGAATATATGTTACTCGTGTAGACTGTCTTTATTGATTTATAGGACCTCAAAGTCTTTGTGACAAGGGGGTTCACTTTATATAGTGAAATTTTATGCTTGTGTCGTAGTATTTGCTAAATTTACTTATATTTCTTCTTCATAACAGCAGCCCTTCCTCATACGAAATGCGAGCGGACTTTCGAAAAGGTTGGTTGTTTCAAGGACAATACCAAGAGAGGGATGAGAACTCTGCCAGATCTCTTAGTGAACGATAGAGATAAATCAAGTGATGCCCATGATGGTCATCAGATTGATTGGCATGCGTGGGAAGAGTCAATGCTCAGGTAACTCAGCTTCTTTTTTTTTTAATGTATTTATTTGGTGATGTTTGACAGGCTGGTCTAGTTCAGCTTTAAAGCTGGTTTAAATGAGGACAATAACAAAGCCAGACCACAAACTGAAACTGGATCTACATTCCCTACTCTTTGAGAGAAGAGCAAGGGTTGTTAATAACATTCTCTGCCAACCAGTGCAGAGAAGATGCAGGAGACAGGGCTATATTTTATAATTCTTATTGGAAAAGATAAGAATGTCTTACCACATGTGGATGTTATAGCAAAGGCAGCACGTTGTCCTCAGTGATTTTAAGACCCTGACTGTCAGTCAGGTCTGGGACTTGAACCCTTGATCACTCACATGGCAGCTGAGCACTCATGAGATAACTAATTGATAGGCCAACTTTTAAACCTTTATTGCCCAACCCCTGATTAAAACCTTTGCAGTGCTAATGCAACTGGGATTGGATAATAACATTTTCACATGACTATTTTTCAGTCTTGCCTGCCGCTGTGCAAATAAAACCCGTGAAAATGGTTGGAAAGTATTTGGGTTGCAGTTCTATGGGGAGTGCTGGAGTGGAGAGAATGGGGAGACGGCATTTAACAAATATGGTGAAGCTGATCCCAAAAAGTGCATCCAGGAACTTGTAGAGCCATTTCCTCCTTGTGATAAAAGCAAGGATATGGAATGCGTAGGAACTCAAAGCACTAACTACATCTATCGGTTGAAAGACTGTGAGTGAATTCTCTTGTCAAAAGAGAATATTTTGTTGTTCTTATAATTTTAAAAATGTGGGAGCCTTACATAATCTCAATTTTACATGAGCTTTCATTTAAATTTGGTTTCATCTTGGCAGATTGAACGAACTGGTTCAATTTTGTTAACTTTGACTGGGTTCAGTCATTTGTGGTGGAGTGTTTTTTAAAATTTGCAATGGCAGGCTATAGTGATTTAGTTTGCTTCCTTCAAGAATTCAACTGATTGTTCTCTCGAGTTCCGAGAGGCCTGTATTTTAAGAAAAAGTTGGTGTATTCTAATATTGTGAGGTTCTTTCTCTAAAGTAAAACCTAAAGATGTGAATGGTGGTTACTCATTGTGGTCAGAGTGGACTGAATGTACTAAAACCTGTGGAGGCGGAACACGAGCCCGTGAAAGAACCTGTACCGACCCTGCCCCTGTGGGGAATGGAAAGGGCTGCGATCATCTAGGTGAACCAGAGGAGAATCAGAAATGCAATGAAGATCCGTGCCCTGATCGTAAGTGGCCTTAAACAAATCACTGCTCGAATCTCGCGCTTGCTACAGCCATGCGCAACCAACGTGCGAACATCATTAGTTACTATTCTTTTACGTCAATTTCATTTAAACAGCCTGCAAGAAATCACTGGACGTTGGCCTGATAATAGATGCTTCGGGCAGCGTTGGAAGTGGAAACTTTGCCAAGGCTTTGAAGTTCCTCTCTGATCTTGTCGGCCACTTGTCAGTATCACCACAAGGAACCCATGTCGGTGCCATCGTTTATAATTCAGTAGCCAGATTAGAATTCAACCTGGCGAAATCGGAATACCACAGCCTTCCCAAGCTGCAGGAAGCCATCAAGGGCCTGAAATATACTGGTGGAGGAACCAGGACAGATCTGGCCCTGAAGATGGCTGCTGATCAGATCTTTAGCGCCGCTGATGGCGACAGGGCAGATGCCGCAAATGTTCTGGTGATCCTCAGTGATGGCAAAACAAATAGCAGGAGTGCACCATATGTGGATGTTTTGAAGCCTCTGCAGGTTAGCGACAAGGAAATATGCACTAAACTTTAAAATTATCGCCTGCTTGCATAGAAATATGCTAAGGAAGAGGAAATTATTCACAAAGGACTATCAGGATGATTCAGAACAGACAAGATTAACATCAACCCTTTAACCCCTAAGAGTGACTGGCGTCTAATTTCTCCTTACAATATCAGTCCTGAATTAAACATTAAGGACACGAGAATAAGGGATTTGACCAACAACTAAAGAACTCTTGACTGTCAAACAAATTCTCCTCTTCAGACCCTTAAGAACGATCCTTCCCAGTTTAAAAACTGGGAAGGATCGATTGGCGAATATCGCCTGATATTCCGCAGTTTTAGCCGTCGCGTTTGGGTCACTTGATGCGTTTAAACCAATTGCTTTTGAGTGAAAATGTTCAGTGGAAAATAAAGGCTGAACTTGTTCCATTTTTTTTTCTGTTTTAGAACAAGGGAGTCCGCACAGTTGCTGTGGGAATTGGGAACAGCATCGGTGACGATGAACTGCTTATGATCGCTGCGGGAAACCCTGACTACGTCACACATGTAAACGATTTTGATGAGCTTAAAAACAACTTGAAGCAAATCCTCATGGAATCTTGTCAAGGTTAGTAACAAGCAGCGATTTTCGACCTTCAATAGAGACCCTGCTTCACATGGGCAGCGAAATGACAAATTTACCGTAAGGGAAATAAGTCAACTCAACTCATGCTGTCGAAAAGATTGTTCATAATCCTGACCAGGGGTACGTGAATGTTATACACCCCTTAGCAAAAGAATGTCGGTACATGTGTCATACTTTTGTGTTTGTCATTCATTGACTAGAATCTTTCATCAGGTGCTGGTGATGTCGATGGGGCCTGGTCCGAGTGGTCTAGCTGGACGCAGTGCTCTAAGTCTTGTGGTGGAGGAGTAAAAGTTCGCGAGAGATCGTGTACCAATCCCCCACCAAAAGGCAACGGCAAGAGTTGCGCTGGAGAGTTGGAAGAGACTGGAGCGTGTTCTGAGAATCCATGTCCCAAACGTGAGTAGTAATTAAGATTTTTTTTCTCAAAGGATGAATTTTCTCAACCGTAGCTTTCACAAGATACTTATCTTTTACCTAGCAGTGAGCTTGTCACAGGGTAAATTATGATTGACTTCCTTGATTGTCCAAGTGTATCGAGCAATTTTCTGTCTAGAGTGTTTTTCGAATGGAGTGTCGTAAAACCGAACCTACAGTCTTCGCCGTGGCCAATTGGGAAATCGGTGAATGCAACAAAGAGGCTATGAGGTGTTAATTACATAAATGTAAAATGTCTTAAGCGCAAGAAACCAAGTTATAAAGCCGTGATTGGCTCTTGTGTTGCAATCTGATTTGTGGCGCGAGTTTGCTAAGCCAACAACAGAGCGCAGTGAAGGAAAACGCCTTCAATTCCTATCCACACTTGACATCAAATTGAAAGTTGCCTTAACATTATAGACTGCCATTTGAAAAAATTGACGGCGGAACCATAGTTTTATATGAAACTAAATTAGTAACATGCACCTGTGGCAGAAAATTGATTCAAGTATGTTTTGATTTTGCAATTGAATTTAGCTTGTACCAAGGCCTTAGACGTTGGCATCATCCTGGATGGCTCAGGCAGTGTGGGTAAAAACAACTTCAAAATAGCCAAAGAGTTCGTCCAGTCCTTGATGTCTCACTTCTCAGTCTCCACCAAAGCAACGCACTTTGGCGTAATTACATATAGTACTAATTCCAATTTGGAATTTCACTTAGCAAACCCAAAATATCACGACGTGGTCGAACTTAAGAAACGTGTGATGGAAATTAGGTACCCTGGGCAGTGGACTCGCACTGATAGGGCTTTGGAAATGGCTGCTCAAAAGCTATTCACTAGCGCCGGAGGAGATCGTAACGACAAAGCAAACATTTTGATTGTGTTCACCGATGGTAAAACAAACCGAGGAAGTAAGCCATATCCTGAAGTACTACAACCACTCCAGGTTAGTACCTTCATGTAAGGAAAGTAATGTGACGCTTGCTATTACAGTTGTGTTGCACTAAGATCAACCTTTAAGGTTGATTGCACTTGTCTGATGATTGGCCGAGTTTGATTTCGCGTTAAGTACAGCACGACTAAGGATTCCTCCATTCGCTCCGACGGAGGGCTAACGCTCTTTATGGTGGCCAACTTACGTTATTAACTCAACTGATGAAATAAATTTATTTCGGGATTCCTCTACCACATTTTATGACGAAGAAAGAACTGACAGATACAACTTCTTCCAGCACTGATTGTAAATATCTTACAGTGCAATAGCTATTCAAAAATCAACGAGGAAGAAGTGTGAAATTGACATAATTCATATTCCGCTATGATTAACCATGCATCTATTATATTTCGTGCAATTTTATTCTTCAATTACTTGAGCATTTACAATAGCTATCCGAAAACAATGACTGTATAGAAAGCTTCTGTTAACCCAATATAGAAAATCAGAAGGGAACAAGAAATATTCCCTTTCATCTTTCTTACTTATTTAATTTGGTAGGAAAAAGGAGTCAGAACCGTTGCAGTGGGTATTGGTCACGGTATCAACCGGCGAGAGTTGCGTCAGATTGCTATGAACGATGATCAGTATGTTATACAGGTGGATGACTTTGATGCCTTGAAGGATAAACTACAGATGATTCTAGATGAGTCCTGTCAAGGTAAGCTCGTACAATTGCAGCTAAAAACGAACCTGGAAATTGTAGCAACTAGCCGGTTTTCGTTTTGCATTCCCCTGACTGCCGAAAGACTGAAGGTCCCACCCCTGCATGCTGATTATTTGAAAATTTATGGACTTTAGTATTTTTCATTTTTTGTCTTAGGTGCACCGCCATCTACGCCTAGCCCTCGATGTAAAGAAGGAGAACTAGGTCTTCAGAGCGGTGACATTCCTGACGATGCAATCACGGCCTCCAGCCAGTGGGATGGAAACCATGGTCCAATCCGTGCGCGACTAAATTCGGCACGTTCGGGAGCGAAGACAGGAGCTTGGTCTGCAAAATATAACGACTTAGGGCAATGGATTCAGGTATATGTTGTCTATTTACCGATGCTTGACTCTCTCTTGTCCATGAACTGTTCCTTAGAGTAAGTTTGCACACGAGCCAAGTAGCCCATACCACTGGAGTATTTGCGGTTTTCTAAATGCTTAGCAACTAGGGCGAGTGCTGTGAGGTGTCCTGACACCTTACAGTGCTAATCTGTGTTCCTGGATGGGCGTCATATTACCCAATAATACAGTGATCTGGTCAGGGCTCGAACCTAGGCCCTCCTCTTCTCGAACCTGACGTTTGTTATCGGTCCCAAAAAAATTCTATCTTGGTTTGACATGTTCACATTTGCAGTCGAGATGATTGAAATCAGATATACAAAAATATCAGAAAACCAAGCACAGTGGACTGGTTTTTGAGCTTAATGTTTTACAAATAGCTGTGGTCGGTAAGGTTACCGGCTCCTGGATCATTCGATCCAAATTTCAGCGCCCTAACCATTGTGCTCATGCGTCTCCTACCGGAAAATTATTTACTCTTTGTTCAATTATAAATTATATTGCTGTCTCTATATTTACTTCGCAGGTCGACTTTGGTAAGATTGTCAAGATAACACGGGTGTTTACCCAAGGTAGAAGTGATTATGATCAATGGGTGACGTCATACTGGATATCCTACAGCCTCAATAATGGTTTCTACGAAGTCTACGGTGAAAATGGTCCAATTGTAAGTTTAACGTGCCGCTTATGTGAGCCTGAACCTTTTGCTATGGTTGTCGAAGTTATAGCGAGAGATTGACCCGAAAATATATTTAATAAATGATCCAATCTTGTCAGGTAGCGTAGGTGTAAAGATTTTTGCAGGAATATGTTCAGTGAATCATTTCTGGGAATCTAATTTCCCTCCAAAGCGTTCTATTTTTCTTGGAGGTCTCTTGAAGTCTTGGTGATTCCATTAATTGGAAAACTTTGCTCTCCCTTGAACTCGCCACTCACGTCAAAATTCAAGAAAAGTTTTCCTTTGTTCTGGGCGGCAGCTTAGACGGCGATTAGCAGCTTGAAGCTGCGAGGATCTCTTAATTTCATCTATTCACCGCAGTGCAAATATATGAATTTCATATATCTAAAATCATCATTCATTACTTGAATGGTTTATTTGGACCCAACACATTGACCAGCTCCCAGTTGGCTTGTTAGCTCAGTTGGTAGAGCGCTGCACCGGTATCGCAGAGGTCATGGGTTCAAATCCCGTGCAGGCCTGAATTTTTTTCAGGTCCTTTTTTTCAACTACTCGTTCCAGTAGTGTTCTTAGCTGCGAGGATCTCTTAATTTCAGCTTGAAGACCTTTCCTTTCGTTGCGCTTGGATTTGTCGCAATAAAAGGGAACTTTTTGTTTCATGTGGAACCCGCTTTTTGTGATTCTTGTGTCACTCTTAGCTTGTTTTGTCATTTTCTCAGATCTTTACGGGGAACTCTGACAGGAATACAATCAAAGAAAACAAGTTGGAAGTGCCAATCTACACTCGTTTCTTTCGTCTTCATCCAAAAACTTTCCATGGACATATCTCCTTGAGACTTGAATTATTTGGCTGTCAAACAGGTTAGCTCAAAGTTATGTTATCTCAACTGAAAATTTTACCCAGAGTTATCACTGACCACATGAATCTACCACTAAAGAGATCCATCGATGGCGAATTGCCATTTGTTCCGCGTTTGATTCCCTCTACTGACCTGGCGTCGTATCTAAGCTGCTGTTTTCCTTGCTCTGAGGTATCTTCTGAAGGTTCACTGTTTTCCCCTCACCACAAAAAGCAATACCCCAAATTTAAAGTTCACGGTACTGTTGGATGAAAAACTATTAGTAAACGTGCTGCTGCCAAATTTACTTCACTTCTTTTTCTATATTCGACCAGATTCAGTACCCTCCAGGGTAAGAGGTAATTATTCCAAATTTTATGTTGGCATTTTTGGAAAAAAAAAGTCTATCCGAGGGCTGTGAGGTAGTTGGCGTTTCTAGCTTCCGATGGCGCAACGTGGAATTGATAATTGTTTCAATTAGAGAGCTTAATTTTCCAAATGGAAACACATGATCTAAAAATCAACAGTTATTTGAGATCAAAAGATTCCCCCATGAAATTATTGAATGCCCGCCATTTTCTTGCACAATCAGGCTTTGTCCCTCCCAGTCCCCCACTGTGCATGGAAGCACTCGGCATGCAAAGCGGGCGTATCAAACCAGATGCCCTGCAAGCTTCTTCGCAATACGATGCTAACCACGGAGCAGATAATGGTAGGCTCCACTTCCAGAAAACTGGTTCAAGAATCGGTGCATGGTCTGCCAAGACAGCAGATGGTAACCAATATATTCAAGCCAAGTTTGACGTGGTTGCTAAGGTACGTCGCGTTGCTACTCAGGGACGAATGGACGCTGACCAGTGGGTAAAGACATACACTTTGGCCTACAGCTTCGATGGAAAGACGTGGAAAGATTACAAGCTCAATAATATAGTTACGGTACGTTCTCAAATCTGTGCTGTTGTTGACATGTTTGGAATATGTCTGTTGCGGTGTGACGAATCTCACAGGACATTGTGTTACGGCTTTCTGAGTTTGATATTAAGTATGAAAGATATGAGAGAATGGTGACAACAACAGGTTTAAAAAAAGGCTTTGGATCGCTAAACAATTTTGAAAGGTCACCCAGTATTAATTCAGAAACTAGTTCTAATCTTCTCGTAATAGTATTAAAAATTTCTTTATGTATGGGTATCCTCTTCCCTTGTTTGCGCTCCAAAACTATTCTAGGCTAGAAACAGACTAGAAAAACATCTTTTCGTTATGATAGGAAAAAATACGGACAGAAATTTTCAATTGAATGTCGAAAGATGTCCGAGATTACTATTGTTTTACTTTACTTCGCTTACACAAAACGCAAACCAATCGCGACTTGGTCATCCGCGTCTTCCCGCGTCTTCCCGCGCTTTTTGCAGTTTGCCTAGTTTTACTTTTAATTCTTATTGGCTAACGAAGGAGTGATTCATCGTTTTGATCGGCTGCTGATTACTTTTCTCAACGCTCAATTGAAAACTGCTCAAAAACGTTAAGAATAGAAAAGATTGACCATTTGAAATAATCTTATCACGGAATGACGCGTCCAATCAGTATCAAAAAAACGATTTGTGTTTAAATTCCTAGGTCTTCCAAGGAAACAACGATCGTTACACTGTAGCAGCTGAGTTTGTTGATCCACCAATCATTGCTCAGTATATACGGATCAAACCTAAGAGCTGGCATGGAACCATTTCTATGAGAGTGGAGTTCTACGGATGTACTGAAGGTATGGCACTCCGCCCATATCCAGAAAAGACAATTTTTCAATTTAGTTTCGAAAGTAATTCAGGAATTCAGTTGTTTTGCTCCACTATTCTTTTCAATTGGTTCAAAAAATTCCGCGGGCTACCTTCTCAACCAGTGAAGGCAACACTACAAGACTAAAACCAATCACGACTTCATGTTATACGACATTCAATCGAGAAGCACTTTGGTCAGCTACCTTATCATATGAAGTTTATTGAATTAATATTTTGGTGAAAGTATTGCTCTCTAATTTAATTGTTTTCTGTTTATATTTCTGTGTAGATGGTGACATTTGCAGTGTGCATAAGCCTTGCCAAAATGGCGCCCAGTGCACAAATGTTGTGGGTGGCTATCAATGTAAATGCCCACCTGGATTTAAAGGAAAAAACTGTGACGAAGGTAAGTTACTGTGGTTATAATGAAAACGATTTTCATATTGAGTGTGAAGGAACTGATATTGCTAACTTGTTAAAGAATGAACTCCAATTTGCTTGTGTTACGTCCATAGAGGGTAAGTTGTTATGTTGTTTTTTTCTTTGAGACTGATCGGAATAGGGTTGAGTTTACCTCTTGTAATTTTATGTTTTGTCGAAACTCGTTTACGAACCTCAATAGTGGTTTAGCTAGACGCGCTACATATTTATGATTCTTTCAGGGATATAGAGCGAAAATAATAAGTTCTGTATAAGTTCCTTCCTTCCTTTGTCCATCTATCACTTCCTTCCCTCCCTAAATTCATTAGAAGTAACATAAAATATGAAACCTAAACTTAACCTCATGTTGGAATGTTTTTGCATGCTTGTTACAACACAGATGTCGATGAATGCGCCAGCAAACCATGTAAGAATGGCGGCAAGTGCGAGAATAAACCAGGAGGTTACAAATGCACTTGTGTTGGTGGTTGGTTTACAGGAAAGAACTGTGATGAAGGTAGATATTTCTCTAGAGGCTTTTCAGACGTGTTAGTACTGCATATCATAAGATTACGAACACGATTTATGGAGTTTTCATTTTTGTAATCACCTAAGCTCTGCTAAGTGAATCCCTGCGATTATGTTCATTTATCTAGAGTTTCTTAAGTATCTTGAATAAACGTATTGTAATTTAAAACGGCGATGCTATATTTAGAAAAGTCCTGATTTCCGTCTACTTTTGACACAGTGAACTAATCACTTGCCACACATAACCAAAAGGGTCTCTTTCAAGAGCCATCCTTAGGACTATTTGTCTTAAAGCAGGTTAAATTAACGCATCTCCTTCTCTGCATTATAGCTCCCGCTGAGTGCATCGTAAACGTCAAACTCAGTGAAGCAAACCGAGCTTCAGGCAACTTAAGAAAGAGCTTTCTGGAATGCGACGTAAGAAATCTAAAAACGATAGGAAAATGGCATCAATTTGTTGGAGAAGCTGGCACTAAGATACCAAACTCCTGCGTTCCTACGCAACGCTGCGGAACCCATGCCCCTGGCTGGATGAAGGACGCGCACCCTAAGAAGGAAGATGGAGTGGTTAAGAGGAAGATCTGCTTCCACTGGAGCGGCAACTGTTGTCGATGGAGTGTCGACATCGACGTCAGGAACTGTGGAAGCCATTACGTGTACAAGCTGGTGAAGCCGCCGGCGTGTTATTTACGATTTTGTGGCGATAAAGGACATAGTAAGTACAAAATGATAGCTCATTTGAGAAACCTAGTCGGTTAAATTTTTTTCAAGGCGAAGCAAAATGTGCAGCAACAACACTCAAAAAATTTGTTAAAACTTTTCTTGTGTTCTCCCAACATACTGTGTGTGTTGTTACGCTGGTAAAATGGAAGAAAATGTGGTGTATCGCTAAGTCAATTGATTTTTTTCAAGTGTTCATGAAAAAGACGTCACAATTAGGTGTCGTTTCGTGGTCAAGATTGACTTGATCTGTTTCCCATGAATACAAAGAACTACTCTAGGTGCAAGAAAATGAACAATCCTTTCCCTTTACTGTTTTATTTACCCTTAGATGTTTGTGAACCAAAGAATCCGTGCCAAAATGGCGGGATTTGTAAACCTCAAGGTGATGGCTACTATTGCCAGTGTAAATCCGGTTACCAAGGAAAGAACTGCGATAAAGGTATGCCATGCATGTTGTACAAATAACCTTTCACGCTCTTTTAATTCGTCAGATTTCCGTATCCATATTATGAGATTAACCAAAAATTTTCAGGTTTCAAACTTGACAAACGAGTGTTCGGTAAGTCAAACAAACGATCACGAGTTGGTATCCACTTCCTCAAGAGTAACTGCGAAGGTCATGTTAGCGTATGAATGCATGTACAGTTAACAACTAAACCCACCTTTTTTCACCCACTAGAAGAATTCTTTTTAATAGTCTGCATTATATGTAAGATGAAAATTGTCCTTTATGTTTAATTTCATCCACACATGAAATTTGGTAGAAAAATCGCGGTTGCTAAAGATGGAATCATGAGTTCTGTACTCTATCACAGTGCTGCTCAATATCTTAAAACTGCTCGCCAGTAAGGTTTTGTTCGAATAATGACTTTCTCTGCGAAACAAACGTGTCCGTGAACCAAACGTAGTACCCTGCACCGTGTGAAAGCGTTCATCTCGATGTTTTCTTTGCTAGATATCGATGAATGTGCTGTCAACAATCCATGTAAGAATGGAGGAACGTGCACTAACACCGCTGGAAGCTACAAATGCGCATGCGGAGCAAAGTACACCGGAAGAAACTGCGAAACGGGTACGTGATATTTCGAGTGTAGATTCTTCCTTTATACAAAACTTCAGATTTTATGTTTATCAGTGATAAATTACACAGTATGTAGGTAAGTCATGCTTTGATAACAAAAGATGAGAAGGCCCTAATGAAGAACTAGCAAGGAGGCTTCAAGATTTAGGCCTTGTTTTTAGTTTAATTATCTTTTCACGTAGATGTTAACGAGTGCACAGTACACAAGCCTTGTAAAAACGGAGGTACCTGTATAAACTCTGTTGGTGGATACAGCTGCAAGTGCCCGAATAACTTCAGAGGAAAACACTGCGATGAAGGTACATTTATGTACTGTCTTGATTTAGCTCAAGGATGGTTTTGTTACCGTGTATTACATATGCAAGACAAACAGTGTTAGTTACTTTAAGTAATTCAACTTTCAAGGGAATCGAAACCTTCGAGACTTCTGATAGTTACTGAAATCATTTGGGTTCTTGTTTTCTTATTTTCAAGATGTTGATGAGTGTAGCGACATTAAACCCTGCAAGAATGGAGCGAAATGCGCCAATACTGTTGGAAGTTACAAGTGCACATGTGTGGGTGGCTGGTTCACTGGAAAACACTGCGACGAAGGTAAGAATTTGGGAAATCAGGCCCTAAAAAAAGAAAACTAAATTGATAAATGAACACAATATTAAGCACGAGGACTTCGTTTCTACTGTTGTGTGCTTTTCTGCTCTTAAATAACCAAACTTTCCGTAGATTACCGTCGGCACCCATTGTCTGCTTTTCACCAAAAAAGGAAAACAAAACACATTGTAAATGTAAAGCCTTACTAAAAGGCTCAGCGACAACGCCATTTATAAAGCCTGACCTGCATCTTAACTCAAAGTTTAAGAGCAAGGTCACGGCACTTTCAGTTTGTGTGGCGTCTCTCTATCCCTTGCCATCCATGTTCGTTTTCTTGATTAATTAGTTCCACTTTCCGAGCTAATCAGTGTGGTATCCTTCAAGTCTCACAGATCGCAATAATGACTCGAAATATCGTGATTCAGTCAAGTGAGTTATTGCGACGTACTACATTGTCCAATGCTCGTTGGGTGTCTTATGTGTCTTTATGGCCTCGTAAGTGATTACTCTCTGTCTCAGATCCTTCGGAATGTTCCAGCTACACTGAGCTTAACACCGCTGATCGTGCCTCTGGGTCTCATAGAGGTAGGTTGTTGAAGTGTGACAAGAACGACTTCCCATCCCAAGCCAAGTGGTACCGCTTCACAGGTGCCGCAGGAACAAGGATGCCTACTTCGCCTGTTGCCATACATCATTGTGGAACCCATGCGCCGGGCTGGCTGAATGGCCAACATCCGAAGAAGGAGGATGGGCTTGTTTCGCGGAAGGTTTGCTTCAACTGGGGCAATAACCTTTGTAGATGGCACGTGTTTGTCAGTGTCCGTAACTGTGGGAACTTCCTCGTGTATCATTTAGGAAGGACACCTGGATGCTCTTTCCGTTATTGCGGAAACAACGGGCATAGTAAGTTTTCATCCCCTGCTGTTTGTAGAGCAGTTTTATGGAAATGCTTCGTGATTGAGTGCGGTAAAACTAAACCTAAAGTTTACACAAAGGCCAATCAGAAGAAATGAGAACATCTTTGAGAGCCAATGCGAACTTATAGTGAATTCCACTAAATTGCCTAAAGTGCGCGAAAACGCGGGTGTCCAGATCGTGATTGATTTTAGTTTTCATCCGATTGGTTTAGAGAGTGATGCGAGTTTTGTGGACCAACCACAAAGCGAAGTAATGCAAAAACAAAACTATTCCGGATTACTTTCGACACTCACTTGAAAATTGCTCTTAGTATTGTAAATCTAAAATCAATGTAACCACAATGGCCAGTCAAAGAAAAAACAGAAATCGCAATAGGCAAATGAAATCTGGGAAAAAAAAACAAAGTGTACGAAATTTTGCAATTTGTCACCAAGCTGTAATCAGGTTTTGTTGGGCATCTTTTTGATCTTAAGGGGTGTGAGTTTCGAGACCAGCTATGAAAACCCTGCTCAAAGACCTTGATTTCTAACGCGACTGTTTCGGCACTAGTCACAGTGGTGGTTTTTTTTTTTTTGAGAAAATGACAATAACCCTTTTGAAATATTTTTAGATGTGTGTAAAGCTCGCAACCCATGTAAGAATGGAGCAACTTGTCAACCCAACGGTGACGGTCAGACATGTCAGTGCCCAGCCAACTTCCAAGGAGAATTTTGCGATAAAGGTTAAATTTGTCTGCTACTTATAAATCGGAAAACAATTAAGGTTATGTAAAAAGCGTAGAATAGGTTGCTGTAAGGATTCAAACACGAACGAAACCCAACTTCGCAATTGACGCTCCACTAGTTGATAGAAAAACTCGTTGTAGAGTTACAATAAGCGGCAAAAGTAGTTTGTGCGCCTCCCCTTGGTAGGTGATCTAAACCCCCTCCCCCCTTTCCACTCACCATAAAAAGTAAAAGAGTATTTTAATTTATGCCTATTCAGTAACTTTAAATTCCCTCCTCCCCCCTCAAAAAATTAATAGATAAATAAATAAATAAGTGACAATTTTGTTAATTTTGCAATACATCAAGGACCATTTTGTTAACTGCAGGCAAGTTGAACGTTGAATAGGAGGAGAGGGGGAGATAAAGGAAAGTTAAGGAAAATAATTCAAAAAGTAGTGAAACGTGTCAAGACTTTTGCCACCCACTGTAGGTTCATGTGTTAGATGTGCAACGCATTCTGCTGATTTAGATAAGTAACATCCAATGCCTAGATGACCTCATGCTGTCGTTTTGCTGCATGGTCGGATCTTTCCAACTCAGATAGTTACTAAAAACGACCATCCAAATGAGAGATCACGTGGGAACCAGAAATTTACTTTCTCGCTAGCAATTGAGATAGAAGACTATGACATTTGAGGTTTCGCCCTTGAAAGACATAACTAGAAATGCCGACGGCTTTATGCGCTTCTCTAATTGGAAGAATAGTTAGCATGATTATCTTCAGAGTTACATGGGAAAGAAATTTCAGTGAGAAGGGAGGGGTCTAACAGGATTTTGAAGAAACCAAGGTCATTTTTGTCTGACATAAATGGTTGACCAACTTTCTTTTCAAAGAGGAGTCCCTGTTCACTCCCCGTTTATTCAGGGTTTCTAAGAGTGAATTGTTTGTTTCTTTTTTTTTTTTTATTCAGATGTGGATGAATGTGCTAAGAACCCATGTAAGAACGGTGCAAAATGTACCAATACACACGGAGACTATAAATGCACGTGCAGCAGTGCTTTCACGGGAAAGAACTGTGACGTGGGTAAGGAAATTACTGATCTGTAATCTTCAAGGAAATGTTTATTTATCACTCAGCGGATCCATCGATTTTTCACTTTTAAAAGCGTTGTTCCTTCTATGGTGCTAGTTATCTCTCCATGGCCGAAAGCTTCAAAGAACGTTGTGTCAAATTTGGATCATTTATTTGTTATACTCTACTATTTGATTATAGTGTTTGTAGGGTATTTTAATGTTTTGTTTTGTTTTTGCTTTTTTTTTAAGTTTCACCTTCGCACGCAGCTCCAGTCTACTAATGTTACACGACAACAGTATCGTATTTTTGAATTAAAATGGTCATCAAAAGATCCTGGCTAGTTGCTATGAATGACAGTTTTCTACGTCTACTCACGTCATAGTACATTTTATTATTTCTTAGACGTGAATGAGTGTAAAGTGCGCAATCCCTGCAAAAATGGAGCCTCTTGTGTGAACTCCGTTGGTGGTTACAGCTGTCAGTGCCCTGGAAACTACAGAGGAAAACACTGTGATGAAGGTGAAACTCTTTGATTTTTTTTGTTTTTTTTGTTTTTTTTGTAAGAAATATTTGTTTGTAGCTTTCCTATTTGGTTGAAATTTATGCACGATTTAACGAACTTTCTTTCTACTCCTTAGATGTCGATGAGTGCATTTCCAAGAGCCCATGTAAGAACGGTGCAAAATGTACCAATACACGCGGAGACTATAGATGCGCGTGCAGCATTGCTTTCACTGGAAAGAACTGTGATGTGGGTAAGGAAATCACTGATCTGCGATCTCTATGGTAATTTTTATTTAATTATTACTCACAGGATTCATCGATTCTTCACTTTGAAACACGTTGTTCCTTTTACGATACTAGTTACCTCTCCATAGTCGAAGGCTCTAAATAACGTGGTGTTAAATTTGGATCATTGTTTTGTTATACTGCACTATTCGATTATAGTGCTTCTAGGGTATTTAAATGTTTTTTTTGTGTTTTTATTTTTTTTAAGATACACCTTCGCACACAGCCATAGTCTGCTAATGTTAAACGACGCAGATATAGTACTTCGAAATTTAGATGGCCATTATAAGAGCGTGGCTAGTTGCTATGAATGACAGTCATCTACGTCAACTTACGTCGTAGTACATTTTTTTTTACTCAGACGTGAATGAGTGCAAAGTGCGCAATCCGTGCAAAAATGGAGCCACTTGTGTGAACTCCGTTGGTAGTTACAGCTGTCAGTGCCCTGGAAACTACAAAGGAAAACACTGTGATGAAGGTGAAAATCTTTATTTTTTTCTTAGAAATATTTGTTTGTAGCTTTCCTATTTTGTTGTAATTAGTGCACGATTTAAAGAGCTTTCTTTCTACTCCACAGATGTAGATGAGTGCATTTCCAAGAAACCATGTAAAAACGGTGCAAAATGTGAAAACACCCGCGGTGGATACAAATGTACTTGTGTAGGAAAGTGGTTCACAGGGAAACACTGCGACCAAGGTAGAGTTATTGAAACGTTCACAGATCACATTAATGAAGGTCAAATGTGTGCAAATTTACTTCCGAAGAGAAACACTTTACTTCTCTTCAAGTTAGTTAACATACTCTCCTTCATTTGTAAAAAATGATTGACGATCCTTCTGTCTTCTGTCAGACAGGTTAGAATGCTAGACAAACTCAGAGGGGACATACCTTAAATGTTTATTTGCTGAAGCGGGTATGGACGATTCCTTGGGTCTTAAGTAATCTGTCGAACAATTCTTCTTTGCTTCAGATCCTTCGGAATGTTCTAGCTACACTGAGCTGAATACTGCCGATCGTGCCTCTGGTTTCCAAAGGGGTGGGTCGGTGAAGTGTGACAGAAACGACCTCCCTTCCCAAGCTAAGTGGTACCGCTTCACAGGTGCAGCAGGAACAAGGATGCCAACTTCGCCTGTTGCCATACATCATTGTGGAACCCATGCACCGGGCTGGCTGAATGGTCAACATCCGAAGAAGGAGGATGGGCTTGTTTCGCGAAAGGTTTGCTTCAATTGGGGCAATAACCTTTGTACATGGCACGTGTTTGTCAGTGTCCGTAACTGTGGAAACTTCTTCGTGTATCATTTAGGAAGGACACCAGGATGCTCTTTACGTTATTGTGGAAACAAAGGCTATGGTAAGTTTACATTTCCTCTGCATTAGAGGGCAGGTCTATTGACTGTTGTGAGACCAAAAGCACACTTGTAAAGGTGACTTGTTAAAGAAAAGAATGATATCACAACAAGCCTTGAAGGTGAAAGGAAAAACAAGAGAACTGAATGAAGGGTGGTAAACCCGAGTTACTAAGCTGCAATAGATATAAGTGATGCGTGCTATGGTTGGTAAGGGACGTGAGTTTTCGAGGTCAATCACAACTGAGTGAGGTAAAGTTAAAGAAATGCAACCCCGGTACACCTAATGTTGTTCGAAATTTTGCATAGGGCGTATTCCCAATCAAAGGAGCACACACTTCATCATGGTATAGTTATGAGAAATGAGCTGTAAGAATCCCATCTCGATCAGTAAGGGGATAATTGCTATATAAGTTTGATTCGTAGCGATGTTTATAGAGAACGTCAGTTTTTTGTGAGACTTCTCCTGTCCGTTGTCAATTACTATCGGCACTCTATAAACAACTTCCAACATGACATTAACAATGCGAATTAAACGAAATGTGGTGATTATAAAGACAGATGTCTTGTCAAGAATCCTTGTCTGAACGGAGGAACTTGTAAAAAAGTTGGAGAGGAGGACTATCAGTGCGCATGTCCAGCTTGGTACAAAGGACGAAACTGTGAACAAGGTAACACTTGATGAATTTTTTTGTAATGTTGTAAGTGATGTAAAACCATTCTTCAGCGTTTGACCTGTGAAACTGTAGGACATGTGACAGATGTGACACACGTCCTCCATACCGCCAGGGTCAGCAAAGACAAAAGACATACTTACGATAAGGACGAATCAGCTTGGCGTTCATAGATCCTCCTCAGATCTTATTCATAATTCTCCCTCTGGCTACTATATATTTCCTTTTTAATTAAATGAGAGCATTCGGTGGTACATTAAGATAATCTCTATGCTGGACATAGTTTTGCTGCATAATGTATTACGACTTTAATGAGAACTTACTTCTTAATTACTGTAGGTCACTGATTTAACTTTTGCTGTGTGACAGTCTGGAGGTGTACTTTGTGTCCTGTATTTGATTCTAGCTATTTTTTAACATATATAGCGATCTGCAGACAAAGGACGGACAGCAAAGATGGTCGCTGTTGTGTTTTCCCTTTTACATACAAAGGCAAAACTTTCAACTCCTGCACTACCTACAAACACGACAGATTATGGTGTTCACTTGATCGTGACTATAATGGAAAATGGGCCAATTGCGGTAAGATGAGTGACTGAACAAAAGCTCTTTTGACTTAGTTAAAGTAATCAATAGATCAATCGACGCGATCAGGTCATCCGCTGTCCCCCCCCTCCCCCCCTTCGCCTTATGTATATATAGTACTCATTCTGAGGGTAATCATTTTTCATAAGGACATCCCATTTATTTTCCATCAAAACTGTCAAACAACATGCAAACTTCATGGAATATTTATATCGGGAGACCAATTTCCTTACTCTAAAATTAACCTGAGGGAAATTCTTAAAGAAATGGGGATACCGACTCTCAGCTAAACACCGAATTAGAAATCAATTACAGTTGTGATGATTCTCTTTTTCTGCAGTATATCCTTGTGACAAGAAACCATGCCAGAACGGAGGAACCTGCAAAAACGCAGGGGTGGATACCTACCAGTGTCAGTGTAAGAGCGGATTCCAAGGAACCAATTGCGAAAAAGGTAAATGCTTGCATGCCTAAGATTCGCGTCATACCTCAAGGGCACAATTTTTAAACCAACGAGATCCATTTGTAATTAAAAAAGCCTTATTGGCGTTTCGCAATTATTTTGGTTAAAAGTAATTTACATAATGGAGTACAAGGGGGTAATTGACTGATCCATCCGGACAGTTCTCGTAAATGATCATTTCTATTGATGCAGGTGTAATTTTTTGCTATGATTTTCAGACGTTGACGAGTGTGCAACCCTTAAGCCATGTAGAAATGGAGCAAGTTGCCAAAACACCAGAGGAGGATACAGTTGTGCTTGTGCTCAAAGATTCACTGGCAAAAATTGCGACCAGAGTACGTGGCTTTCCTAATTTTTCGTGTGACGAATCAGTTTTAGATGCTGTGTCAATTTGTTATGTCCTTTATTATGAATCTGACCTTCCTAAGGGAAGAAAACGTCCTAAGAGGCAGTGTATAATGATTTCAAGTCGTAAACGTTTCCATTCCCTGAAAACCCCTTATCTCACTTAGTTGGGATTGTTTGCTTGCCTTTCTAACACCACCACTTATCATACTTGCCCCAGTTTATGTTCCTCCTGAATGCAAAAATCCAGTGGTTATAAGTCATGAAAGTCGTTCGATGGAACACACTGGTGCACCCATTAGTTGCGATCAGCGGAACCTTCCTACGGTCGGCAAATGGCACCGCTTCATGGGCGCGGCGGGAAATGCCATGCCTACCTCCTGTGTGCCGACACACCGCTGTGGTACGCATGCTCCTGGTTGGCTCTCGGGGGATCACCCATCTGAGGACCAGGGTGTTGTTACGAGAAAGGTTTGCTTCCATTGGAGTGGCGACTGTTGTAGATGGAGTGTAAACATCAAAGTCAGAAGTTGCGGGGAATATTACGTCTACCAGTTGCCCAAAACACCTGTCTGCAATCTCCGCTATTGTGCGAAGAAAACAAGTGAGTTATTGTCATTTTTCAACAAACATAGGCAGTTTCGATTACTTTTTTATAATTTCTCACAATAATATAGTTGCTTGTAAAAACACAGAAGAATTAGCGAACATATTTGTAGCGTTTAATAAGTACTTCAAGAAATATGTGAATTGTTTTTTTTTCTAAGTGAAACACCGAAAAGACGAGAAAAGAATATAAGGTCTTTTCCTTTTTCTGTCAGCTCCTGGGGCACCCTCATCCTGCAGACGACCGATGGACATCGGTGTAATTATGGACCGCTCTGGCTCAGTCGGAGGAAACAACTTTGAAAAGGCTAAACAGTTCGTCATATCTCTCGTACACAAGCTCCAAATATCGTCACACGGCACTCGAATCGGAATCATCCCCTACCACTCTAATGCGGAAGTGGCGGTAAAATTCGCAGATGTGGCATATCAGACGCCAGATGCTATGACCAGGTTGATAAAGGGTATCCCTTACACCCATGGTTTGACACGAACCGACATAGCTATTGAACTGGCCAATAGCCAACTGTTTAGCAACTCGGGAGGACGCCGTATTGACAAACCTAATGTGTTGATTGTGATGACCGACGGAAACACAAATCCTGGAAGTAAATCATACAGCCAAGTTCTTGCTCCTTTAAAGGTAAGTTAGCCTTAATTGTATGCTTCAACCTGTTCATAGAGCTGAATTGCTTTTTAATTCAGCAGAATACCCGTGAAAACCGGCTGCGCTCGGTCCTTGCTGCCACGACCTCGGGCCAATATTTTCCAGTATGGTTCCGGCGCTTGGTTGGCAAGGAGTTAGTACATTATGATTGCTAAGATTAGTTGACAACAGTTTCTTTGAGAGCATTCAAAGAAAGTATGTACCGCCAAAACAATGACCGCTTTTATTCGTCACACAGCAAAAGAATGTGAGGATGATCGCTGTTGGTGTAGGATCAAGTATAAATGATGATGAGTTGAAACAAATCGCCGACGGAAAGCGGGAAAATGTTATTCACGTGGACAAGTTTGACGACCTTGTCAGCAATGAGAATAATGTTCTGTTTGCATCTTGCGAACCAGGTAACTGAGCAGTGACGTGGCAATCTATTTTTTTGTAATGACCTCTGTGCTTCAACTGATAAATCCTAACAACCCACAACCACGAAAACATCATTTGCCCTATTGCTTCTTAAACTCCAGCTTCTCTTAGTGTTTTGTTCAAATAGGTTTGAGTTTTCATGAAGTATTCCCCCTTGCTTTTAATCTTTTGACGTCTAAATAACGTCTAATAATAATAACTAGCGTCTAATTTTTCTTTACGATATCCTATAATGACCCACTTTGAGGTCATGAGATAAGAAATGATCAGTAACTTAAGAAGCTCTTGGTAGTTAAACAAATTCCCCATGTCAGCACGTTAGGATATGTATTGAGAACAGTTTGCAAAATTTTCATACTGATGTGAGGGTACAAAGGTTTAATGTTAGTTGAGAACTGAATAATCACGCACTTTGAAGGTTTTTACAGGATTGCACCCGGGGGTAGACAGAGAAGTAAACGCTTTTGACTGTTCAACAGTTTTGATGGTAATTAAATTGTTTGTATATGAATGTATATTTTACTTGTGTCAGACTCTCCAGGTCCAGGTTGTCATCATGCCATGGACGTGGGTATCATTATGGATCGATCCGGTTCAGTTGGGTCTGCTGACTTCCTTAAATCGAAAAGCTTCGTTAAAACTCTGGTACACCGTTTCCAAATCTCTTTCCATGGAACACGTGTCGGAATTATAGCTTACCAGTCGAATTCGCACTTGGCTGTGAAGTTTAGCGATGCTAATTCTCAGAATCCAGCTGCCATGACAACCATTATCGACAACATCGCCTACACCGGCGGGGGTACAAGGACCGACATTGCACTTGAGATGGCCAATACAGGACTGTTCAGTTCAGCGGGTGGAGACCGAACAGATAAACCTAACGTGCTTGTAGTAATTACTGACGGAAAAACCAATTCTGGTAGCAAGGCTTATCAGACCGTTTTAGCACCGCTTATTGTAAGTGTAGTTAGGGTGTATGTTGTCATTGTGTGAGTGTACGCATATCGATTGAGTGTTGCAAGGCTAAGAAAAAAAATTACTCAAGATGATCGATTGCGGAAAACACAATTTAACAACGAGCCAGTTTGCTTGTTTTTTGCTCTGCATCCCAGTTACTGAAGCACGAGAAAACGTGGATGACCAATTTACGATCAGTTTTGGTGTCGCATTTGATTGGTTGAGTGTAGCGCGAGTGATTATAGGTGACGCAAAGCGACGAAGGGCAAAACTAAATGGCTCAAACGCACACCTTTTTTTTTTTTCAGTTTATCGTTACCTGTTCTTCAAAAATCAACAGTTGATTTTAAACTCGTCTTACTTTCATCAGGCGTGCAACGATAAGCATGAAAAAATACAAATTACCTCTTCATAGTGCTGCAGTTATAAAGAATTTTTATAAATTTTCTTGGAAAGGAGAGAAAATTGTATAACGCTTATGCAAAAACGAAATTCTTACCAAATTGTGTGTTTATTTACGTCATAGGATAGTAAGGTAAAAATGATTGCCGTTGGAGTTGGCTCCGGCATCGACTACAGTGAACTCAATGAGATTGCTAATGGAAAAACGGCGAATGTTATCCATGTTGACAAGTTCGAGGATCTCTTTGTACGACTGAACAACGTACTTCGAGCTTCATGTCAAGCTGACTAAGAAGTAAGTTTATGTTCATGTTCGTCTAGAATAAGTTTCTCCTCGTGGCCATATTTTTCTTGAAACTTGGATGTGACATTTCACATAAGAAAAGAACGGAATTTCATACCGGTAGAGTAAATAATGACAGGAATACTTACAGAAATATGGTTAAGTTCATTGATTGATTTCTTAGCTGATATATTTATCTAAATTTAGGGGGACGTCTGACAGTCAGTACCCGCTAATAATCCTTTATATTTTATCAAATTAAACAGGATTCGTTAGAACAATACATTACCCAGTAATTGCCCCCTTTTCTTCGCATACTATTAATAATGAAAACAGAAACATGTGACAGGGAAAAGTTAGGTCATAATTTGTCCAAAAAAACTGTGTCTCGCCTGAGTCTAAATACTCCTACACCCCCACTCACTTTGTCATTGTAAATGTAAAGACGCTAAAAACACCCTAAATAATCAAAAATAAGCAACCTAAGATGGATTTTAAATAATTTTTTTGTATTCTTTAATTTAGTTAGTTTGATACTCTCTCTCTCTCTTTGTTTACAGATTACCACCACTAGATAGTTTAATCACTCAACAAAAGAATGAAGACACAACGCAATGGATAATATTCATGTCAAAAAGCTTCAATAAATGTTCTTCAGGCAGATAAAAATGAGTGTCTCTGATGTCACTGTTTGAATTATCTTACCCATGAACTCCTAGTTATCGTTTTCACAAAGATAACTTTAAGATATGACTGAAATCGATAAATTTTTAGCGATATTTCCTCAAAGAATGCCACTATCTTACTGTTTCTATCTGTGAAGTTTATTCAGTTTTCCCAAATTTGGATCGTTCAGTGGATCATTTAGCCGTGTTATCAATGTTAGGAAATGCAGTTGAGATATATGTTGTTCCAGAGTCTGGTTGAGACTCTCTCAGCCTCTGAAATAACACAAAATTTTTACAGAATAAACAAATGTCGGTTTAGAGATCGTCTTTCATTGCGAGGTTCAGTAAATAAATACATATCCTATGCTACGCGAGATTTTCTCCAGTAATTGGCACGGTATTGACAAATAGTGGCACCACATTCGGTTTTTTTTCCTTTGCATCAAGAATTTCCTAGAGATTGCGGACGTACATTTGGACATCTTTGTTCTCCAGAGAAATTAAAGCGTCAATGGTAGTTAATATCCTTTGTATCTCAGTTGTATTTTCATCTCCTACTGATTATATTTCACGCAAGAAAAAGCTAGAAAATCATTCTTGTCGAAAATGTTGCCGATTGATTGCAATTAACATCTCAGCGGAACAATCAGATTGAATCGAAGTCAATGAATGTTAGGTGCACCTGAGCATACTTGCGGATATTAGTTCCAGGATATTGTTACGGAGATGTGCAAATATTAATAACAAAGCTGCAGTGGCGGTTTAAACGAAGTATGAGATATTTTGAAACAGGAAAACTTTGATCTGACAAGTGATTCCTAGGGTTTAAGGAAGATTTAACACTAATCCAAACACTAACCTCAAGACCTTTTTGTAGCAAGGGAGTTTTGCAAAGATTATCTGGTAGTCTAAGTAATACATAAAATAAAGCCGAAAAGGCACCATAATTTAGGTCTACAATGCAAACAATTGTGATGAACAATCAGAAAACCGAGAAATTAGGCTATTTTTTTACTCCATTTTAGAACAATTAAAAACTCTATGGGAAAATTTTTCTAGATCTCTTAGAGTCAGTATCAGCTAGCACAGTCTGAGGTTTGGTTCGAGAATCCGTCGCTGACCAATCCATCTACCTTGCAGCAATATTATTATGTACATTGCTTCAGTATGCTTTATAAGATTGCTATGGAGAGTGACTAAGAAGGAAACATCGGAAAATTAATATCTACCATGGACGCAAGGAATGGTACGTGTCCTTCCTATTGATGTAGTATTAAACAATAAAAAAATTAGTTATATTGTAGGTAGTATCTACACTGGAATCTTTTTTCGTTTTAACTCATCATATCCTATTCCCGGGCGTGCTGTTTTCTTTCATCAATTTATTCTAATGACACATTTATAAGCCATAGAACAGATATTTTTTATAGTTTCATTCTTAATTCTCTTTCATCTTTGCTGATTGCCGGAATACTTTGCAATTTTCTTCTTGCTGAAAGAAAACTTGTTTCAGAAAGTTAAACACTTGACCCAGTTAAGCGAATTCTTCACCTCCTCATCATAACTTGTAAGTTAAGAAACATCTCTTTTTGATTCCGGTAATTCAACACTGAACTGGCATAATTTTGAATATCTAGATCTCTCAGCAAAGTGTTTGTTGGGTTTATGTTCCGACTCGTTTTGGGCTGAATTGTAGGATTATATTTCTTGAGTAATTCCCCTTTTCTCGACACAACCATAGATTTAGTGATTAAACATTTTAAATTAAAGTTTTTCTAAGCTCTTGACGTACAATCAAGAAAATGAACCCATTGTCCTCAAATGCAAAACGATTAAGTAAGTCGCAAAAATGGCATTCATCCAGGAACGTGAAATCATCACATACAGGAGGCGTAAAGTAGTATGAATAATTAAACAAGAAAAAGCAGGTCTTAATTTCTTGAGAAAAAGTGTCCGGGTCACACACTGCTTAAATTTTGAAAAATATTCGAATGACAACCCATAAAACGTGTGTCACATTGGTTTATTTTGATACCGAGTCATCTGATTCCGAGCAACTCATTCTATGTCTGGAACAGTCCCTAGTAACTCTTTTCCAATTAACAATTTTAGCAGCGGGCAAATAACTTTCACAAAGTGACAAAGACAACAAAGAAAATTTAAATGCGACCCACTAATTTGAAAACATTCACTACTCTGTTCTTTACGACCTACGTAATGTCAAATCACTTCAGAAATACTTGCAATCTTTAGAAAGGCTAGAATATTCATTGGAAGATTCTGTGAAAGCGCCACCTGTACAATACTTTATTTGCAGAGTGCAGAGCGAATGTGATAATTTTACCCAGCAACGAAGCCTACTAGCATGGAATTTGACTGACAATACGTCCGAAAATGCCAAAGCGGTGTGTTGTAACCAATGGCTCTTTAGGCCTTGAGTAATTAATATTCAGCCTTCTTCGACATGTCAACCAAACAACGTTCTTAATTTCGCCCATAAATTGTTTTTAAATGCACTGAAATTCCTAGCTGACATAGAAGACATTTATGTTCTTTCGTTGAACCTCACCGTGTCATAGTCAAGATCTATTTTGGGACAAAATAATTTCAACAGGTAAGAAAAGGATCGTAAAGAAGAGAGTACACCTCTCCGATTGAAGACTGGCCTTTTCCTTAGGTTAAGTTATCGAAAGTTATCAATGAAGACATTTGATATTAAACCTTAAACTCCGTTGAAATTACCTTTTTGTTACACACAGCAGTTTCTCCTGATATGACTCACGAAATCATTTATTTTATTCATTATTTCCTTTTCGCTTGAATTCCACATCAACATCTTGGAGGCAACAGGTTAAGATTACTGAATTCTTGTTTCATCTGAAATTATAATATGGCCTTGTTTACCATCTTTTGTATTGCAAAAAGTGTGATTTTGCCTGGTTCTTTCCTCTACATTCTGGCTAGAGGCCAAAATTTCTCTTTCTCTAGGAGGGCCAGGTTTTTTAGAGTTCTTTATGATGTCTGAGATAATTGGCAGAAAATAGTTTGGACGCACCTTAACATAAAATGTCGCTGAAATACATCCATTCAACTGTGTTCAATTTAGCTTAAAACTCATGATTTCTCAGAAACGAGATATAGAAATTTATCAAAAAAGAAATGAAATAAATTGAAACAAAAATGAAAAACGAAACTTTCATTTTTGGCAAGTAAAGGAATATTTTTGGTTACACCACACACTGTTAGAAACATTTAAACAGTCGATTATTTGCTTGACGTACACCCAAATTCACACTTTGTCTTGGAAATTACATTTTCTTCCGAGTAAACCACTGTGGGAAATAAACCAAACGGCAAAAAAACCAAAAAAAAACAAGAAAAAAAAAATCAACGCTGGCTAATGTTGATAGTGTTGGATTTGATTTGGCCATCGAGAGAATCCAGAATGCGCCAAGTGGTTGAAGGTGAAGAGTTGAAGAAAAGGAAAGAAATTCGAAGTAGGAGTGTGTAAATGAACCATGTCAAAACGAAGGAGTCACTGCACCAATAGATGACTTGCACGCTGAAAATCCTCGAAGTTGCAAGTTAAGTTTCTTTCTTCATGTTTATACAGCTTTATTATCAAACATGAAATGCCCTTATTATCAAACAAGAAATGCTTCGCTTGCTTGTAAGAAATGCCCTTTCTAACCTATTTTGAATCGTTGCCAGAATAAGATTCATTTTATCTACCTAATGTACCTAAATCGTTTCTTTGCGGTCGGTGGCTTCAGTGCTTAAAAACCCATCTATCTTATTAATGTTTATCTTGAACCATTTTACCTCCTGAAAATTTTAAGTGGTGTGTTTTATTTGATGAAATCGCAATTCAATGAACAATCTCGCTAAATTTTATGGATCGAACTGACGATTCTGACAAATTTTACTTAGCTAAAACAAATAAAGTCCTAAATTAATTAGTTTTCTTTCCCTTACGGACGCAAGCAAAAGTAATGAGTTTTCATGATTACTGCGGTCGGAAAGATGAAAGGAAGAATGTTCTCTTTGAGGGTTTTTCGGTGCCATCAGAATAATTGAAAAAATGAAACAAGAATGGCAGTCACGTGAAGATATCAAATTTTGTTTTTGCGGCTAATTTTGACATTGCAATTAGATTTTGTTTTCTTAACCCAATGCGGCCGCAGGGATATTTAATGAGACTTTGGAATAACCGACTGACAGGTCTTGTCATCCTTGTGTTTGTTTGATTTTACTAAATTGTGAGAATCGTTTATTTAACGATGAAATATTGATTCATAAGCAATAAATATCTCTTTTATTCTCAACAGTAACACAGCTCTCTTTTCTACAAAAGACAACTCAGTTGCTGAAACTGAATATAGCATACTCTTACTGAGCTCGTCGTCATCGCCATTGAAAGAGCCATTTTGAGCTGTCTCGTAATAGCTTAATCAATTAGTTATTTAAGTAAAAAAAAAAATCAGGTTAAAAATCGTCGTGTTAAACAAATATGTATCAGACAGGGCTCCACTAGGGTTTTTATGGTTGACAAGCAAACTCAAGGATTTCCTCGTAGTGTAGCATCAACTGTATTCCGCTTTAAACCTCTGTCCAAATATGGATACTGGTAAGACTCAGAAATATTGAACAATAAAGAAATAAGGCATAAAAACAATTAACTGGAGGTTAATTACTTCGCTATTTACAAAGTTTAGTCGAGGAAATGAATTCTGAACTCAACCTCGATCCCTTTTGTTAGGAATTTTAGACATATTCATTGCATGGAACCGCATTTTATCCTTTCCTGCTGGTTTATTCAATTCAAGTTCCTTTATGAATTTTTTCTTCTCTTAGAAATGAGTAATAACCTCACTCTATTCCACTCCGACGCAGAAAACTCGGAAGAAGATATTTTTGGCCGCTCGCAACTGCAAGTATGGTTCGAAGTGTCCCTAGGGGTATTAATGTGCCTAGTGGCTGTTACAGGAAACATTTTGGTGGTGATTGCCATCCACTATGATCAAAGGCTCAACACAATTACCAATATACTGGTCGAAAACTTGGCTTTTACCGACATCTTCATGGCAGCCCTGCACATGCCCTTTTGGATTATCAGTCTCCGCAATGGACGCTGGATATTCGGTCACGCTCTTTGCCAGCTTGTGGGACTGACACAGTTGATATTTGGAATCGCGTCGCTGTTTACCATGACAGGCATCGCTTTTAACCGTTACTTCAACATAGTTAGGCGGAACCTTTATATAAAGTACTTTTCTACGAAAAAAATCACCTACATCATTATTTTTCTTACGTGGCTGGGCCCCATTATCGCCACAACACCACAGCTGTACGGATGGGGAAAGATTGACTATCACGCTTTGTTCGCCGACTGCACGTGTGTTTGGAACCTACCCGATGTTTCTTTTATCATAACCCTTTGCGTTATGACCATTTTCTTGGCAGCTGCGGTCATAACGTGGTGTTATTACACCATCTACAAAACAGTAAAAGCAAGTGGGGAGAGAATGCAGGGACACGCAGCCAAGAGTAACATGAAAAGCGACCTTGCCCACAAATCTGGTGAGAAAACGGAGAATAAAGTCCTCAAGACTTCATTTGTGGTGGTTTGTGTTTACATGACCTGTTGGACGCCTCTCTCCGTCATGGGTTTCATTGAAGTGTTTGGAGGGGAGAGTCCACGATGGGCCCACTTATTTGCCTACTACTTCGTGTTCTGCAGTAGCCTCACGAATCCCTTCATATACGGCGTCATGAACCCGCAGTTCCAACGAACCTTCAAAAAGATGTTTCGTATACGCGAGAACGATGTGCAGCCCATCTCGAGCCGCACAGTTTTCAAAGAAACAAAGAATACCATGTTAGGCAGTAAGGTGGTTTTAGTAGATGATATGCCAAGCACGTCCATAACTTTAGTACCTTTGTTTCGTGATCAAAATCACAATGCAAGTGACACAGGTGTGTTTGTGAACGTTGTAGCTGAAGCTGAAGAACAGTCTGATGTGCCTGGAAAGTCATTTATAAGGAAAAATGGCCAGGCTTGGCAAAAATGACCTATTACAATAAAACTGACAGAGTTTTTAGTTTTTTCTTTCCTACTTGGATTCAGAAACAGGCATAAAGACAAAGAACCACTTCCAGTCAGTTGGCCATTAGCCGTAATTTAGTAGCTGACATACCAGGGCGGCTCGTCTATTGTAATAATTTTTTACTAATGTAAGCGACTTTTAGGGTTTAGTTCATTCTCACTTTTGTGAAATATCATTGAAGAAGAACATGAGAGCTTGAACAACCATCTCGTTGCAAACGAAGTTTTTCTCGAACAAAATATCAACGATCACTTATTGCTAATAACTAAATTAAGGGGGGCAAGTAAATAAACGAGGAATAGGACAGTAATAGGAATATTACCCACGAATAAGCATTTTCGTGGACAAACTCTCGAACCTCATAATAATCACGATCTCACTATTTTTCAGTCTTAACTCACTGATTGCCTGAACTCTATTCTTAAGATATAAATCATAAGGGCGTCAAGAGACAGCCCGGTTGCACACTGAACCGCAGCGTCCTTTAGCAAGGTAACTGAACCAAGAAAACTTGTTAATTAACTTAATAGGAGAATGTAGCCTTTTGACATTGAGAAGTATGTAAGAGCGAAACATTTATGTACCATAACTTTTACATGAAATATATTAAAAAGAGCTTGACTTACCTGAAACATTTTTCCTGCTTTTTCTAAGCTCTGCAGCACAACAGAGCACAATAAGTAAGGCGAAACGCGGCTACAAACATCTTCCCGCGCTTTTCTCTTGCGCGTATGCATTGAAAGGTGGGAAATTTCTCCTAATGTCCAGTAAGTAGTGGTTCCTTCAGTTTCATGGGCTTTTTCCAATTTTTTTAAATTTGTTTCTCCGCACATTTTAATTTAAATTGGATCGTCTTCTGCTTCACGTAGTACCGAAATAGACTACTCGGGTCGTACCCCTTCAACAATAAATCTCATGACGCCTTCGACTTGTTCTCTTTTAAATCAAATTTTATCGTTACTGGTGATTCACAGGACGACACGATACGCAATAATCAAGTGTAAGTACAGCAGCTTGTGTTTTACAGTTCCGTCACAAAGGAATTCCATTAGCCGTTTATCCAGCTTGATTCGTGAGGCGATACAAGCGGTTTTTGTCCGGCTTACTTAGCTGAAAGGCATTTAACCTTCAGGTCATGACCTTAAGAATATTATCAATGGCATGAGCTGAAATTCTTGTCAGGAGGTCCTAAACTAGATTCTTCCCTCATTATATATTACATCAATACTTTTTTTTCTCAACAAACGGTAGTTAGGGGTTACATACAGATAAGGATCTCTCTCCAACTTGACTACACCTTTGGTAGTGATGCAATGCAAGACTACCATACAATTTCTAGTGATCCACATAAAAAAAATTATCATTGTTTGTTTGCCATGCTCAAGGTGCATTTGGTTGACATAACATTCTTCTGTTTTATTGCATCAGAGGTCATAAATTAACTGATAACTGCCTCCGGAAATCAAGTTCTTATTCCTTCTCCAGTCCTTCAAATTTTTATACTGGAGAAATCACATCCTGATGCCTTGACAACAACTGTCAATATTGAAGCATATTGATTTTTTCATGTTTCACTTTCACCTATGATCAGCATATTAAATTGATTTTTCACAAGTAAAAAGAAAATTATTTGATTGGGGAGATAGCCTTAATAAAACATCAAATTATCAGCTCTAACAAAAAGAGGTGCATTGTTGTCCAAAGGCTGGGTTCCAGTGTACCAAATAACTAATCATTACACTATCAAGAAAGTATTTTGAGGTAAAGAGTTGGTGCTAATGTTTGGTATCTTCAATGTATGTCAGAATATTTCTAGTTATATTTGCAACATGCAAAACAACCTTTAACTCAATGCAAACTTTGAGAATGATGCTATTCAGCAGAAAAAAAAGAAAACAAAAAAGTGACTCAAAAAGTGAAAAAGCAGAACATGGAACATTTACCCCTTTAAACCCTAAAATTCTCCACACTGGTCTCTCCATTTCCTGTGGTAATGATTAGGACAATTTGTGTCACAAGTAGGCTCCAGCTGAAAAACTTGTGAAATTTAGGCTATTTTTTTCAAGTTACAAAAGTCATGACTTACAACTATCGTTGAATGATGTTGTGACAATTTTTCATTGATTCAGTTTTTCCCTTTGCTTTAATATCTGTTATTAAACATCAAGAATCAAAGAAAAAATCTAAGTGCAACATACAAGCATTTGTTAATTAAGTTCACTCTGAATCGTCAAATCTTATCTTCTCTCCTTTAAATTCAACCTTCATAGTTTCTTGCAACCTCCTTCTTTTCATAGCTTGCCACGATGGATGCAGAATTTCTTCCTTCTTTGTCTGTTTGGTAGGCTGCTGCGATTTCACATTATTTGATTTCAACTTCTTTATTTCATTATTATCCTTTGAAGTGTATTCTTTTGCTCTCTTTACCAAATGCTTTGCACTCTTTCCATGTACCTTTTCCCACATTTGCTGCCGTGCACGCTGTCCTTTGCGGTTCCTCTTAACTGTCTTATCAGCTTTTCTTACTTTCTTATTTCCTGAGGTGCTTTTTTCCTTCAAGAGTACCTTCTCATCATCCTTCACACCTGACATAGATTGAACGAAACAGGACCCTAAACCTTTAGGTTTCAAGTCTGGATAAGAAATACCATCAGTATCCTCTCCGGAGTCACTTCCGCTTACGTCTGAGCCAGATACAAAGGAGTCATCTTGATCTAAAATTTCTTTAAGCTGAGGCTTTTTAGCTGGAACAAGTTTATTTGTTGTTGATTTTTTCTTTAAAGCTTTCAGTCTTTTTTGTATCGTTGCTTTTTCTGTTTCTGTATCGCTGTTTTCATTACCTTCGTATTCTTTCGCTTGAGTGTTACCAGAAACTGACTTTTCATTCCATGTGACAGCAACTTTTTCTCCAACAGTCTTAGGTTTCTTTTTGTTTTTGCTACTTCTTTTTTCAAATCGTACTGACTGTTGTTTATTAGCAGATATTCCTTCTAGAGATTTGTGAAGTTTCGTGGAGTTAACGATCCTGTCCATGGCTCTTCTCTGAAGATCAATGTCTGTAAGTGAATCTTCAACATGGTCTTCGAGCACACGATCAGCAACACGCTCAGCTTCACTCTTATCGTTGGTGACTCGACGGATTATTTCAGCCACCGTAGTGTCCTTCAGAAACTCTAGCTCCTTTTCAAACCTTTCGATCTTTCGTCGGTTCTTTTTTAACTGAGCCTCCGTTCCCTTCTTATTTCCTAATTGCCTCATTCTTCGCACGAGTCGTTGCACTTCGAACAACTTGGCGCGTTTTATCTCGCGTTTAAGGACGCTACTTTCTTTTTCCATCTCTTATGCCTGTACGGTATGAGCACTACTTAACAGCATTAGCTACTAAAAAGAGTAGGGGCTCCACTTGCCGAAGTAACAAGTTACTTGCATCGAACAACAAAGGTTAGGCACACGCTTACTTGGTGCGTCCGCCATCTTAAATTTAAGTTATACCCCAGTCTTGCTCCACTGCAGTTACCATAATCCCTTACGAGAGTTCAAGATGGCGGGCAGAAAACAGAATTTTTTCCTCTCTCCTCTTTTACTGTTTCTTCAAATATCCTTTAAAATGGTAATGAATTCTTCAAAATTTTTCATTTAAAATCGGCCTGAGATGAGGCTATTTCAAGGATGAACGAGGAAAAACTATGATAAATTGTATTCCCATATTAACCGAACAGCTGTAACCTTGTTTAATTTTTTGAAGGTGCTATGTGTGGAGTCTCGTGGAGACGAGTTGGTTTTCACCTTAGAGCACTGTCTGACCGAAGGTAAATACTTTCAAATAAGCTTATTTTATTTCAAGTGGTTCTTCAACATTTTTATAATGCATCATGATTGGTACGGTGTATCCACATGACCGGCGTGAGTGTGCATGTGCATGCGTTTTTTTTTTTAGCATGACTGGATTATCAAGTAATTGACATTTTCTTTCATTCCTTAGGAACAAATGCAGTTTTTAAGCCAAGGTAAGCAAATATTCCAAGAGGCCATGCATGTTTTAGGTCATGTGCCATTACTTCCATAAAGTTAAAGAAATACAGCGGTTATGTGTTACTCTGAATAGTCCTGAGGCAGGAGAGGATACAAGACCCCATGCGGCCAATCCAGGCTACATTTAGTCCAGGTCATCCCAAAGATCCTTGTTCAATCAAACCCATATCATATATTTTTAAAATTATATTTATTCTTGCAAATTGAGTATTTTTTGTCCCTTAAGTGTAAGCCTCAGCTTTCTGGCTTCAAAACTTCATGTACAGAACTGTTTGTTTATTTTATTTTGTCTGTAGGGGAACCATTCATGTCAAGAGTCTTAAGAGTTCCAGTGGAATATTTTCAGAGCAGGAAACACTCTCATTTGAAGATGTGAACAACCTAAGGGTATCCAATAATAATTATTTTCAAGTGGTTAGGGTTATGGTCGTTTACTATGAATGCTGGCTGTTAGCTTTATTAACTAAAGTCAACTTACATGCGCATGCAGACCCATGCATAGGAACATGAAAATTCTCAACTGTAGTGTTAAAGTGCAGCTTTTGGAAGGTAACACAACCCCAGAATAGACTGGTAGATTCTTGAGCAGTTGCATTCTTGGCCAAGTCACTTTATTTTTGTTTACAGTGCCTTCTCCATTTCCATCCCCTCTTCCCCCCACACCCTCAAAAATAAATGAGCACAGAACCGGGAAACTGCTAGAGAGAACTGATTTGGCTTTTTGTCCCAGGTTTACCTTTAATTGACTACAGTAGTGTCACATCAAAAAGCAGTTGCATTTATGCAGTCACTTATATTCATTTTATTTTTAGTAGCTATGCCAGTTAGGCTTGTCTTAAGATTTATAGTTTTGAAAGGCTTGACTTAGGTAGCTTTCAGTTTGAATGAGAAACTGAGATCAACTTTTACTGTAACTTTTAATTGTTTTTCTCTCCCTTGTAATGCAGGATTTAGCATCAACTAATGGTTATTATAGAATACGGTTACGGCCCAAGTCTGCAGAAAGCAGTGATGATGTAGATAACAGTGTTACAACATTTGTCAAAGCTGTAAGTCTTAATTTAGGGACCAGTGCTTTTAAAACCAGTGCTGATGATGGCCTTGAGTTTTGGCATTGATCTATAACTTGATGTAGTTGATACTTATTTGTATTTACCAAGTGAAAGTTTGTTGTAGGCAAGACAACAAGGTTTTTACATTTATCTTCTTGGTTATATTAGTGAACATGATCAAGTAATCCAACTTTTAAAACTACCTCTAATTGGGTGTTGTTTCTCTACCTTCCAACTGCAGTGTGCACTGTTTACATCAAGACTCACAGAGACTATAACTCTGTCTCTTGACAATGCAGGTGGGTAGATCACAGCCATCACAATATTGAAATTCATAAAGATAGTGAAAATTCTTATGTGGAGACAGTGAAAATTCTCAAAATAACCAATCGAAGAAGTACATAAAGAATATGCAGTAACTATTGTAAAAGATCCCACCATCAAAGGAAACTGCACATAAGCCAGATAAGAACCTCTTGAACTCAGACTTAACACAACTTTTGTTTTTGTTACAGGACACTTGTATGGGGTTGGATTAATTGTCCCTGATGGAGGCTGTGAAGCAAAGACACTCAACTTGGTTTGTCTTCAGTTTTTTTGTCCCATTACCCATTGTAGTTTTTTTTTGTATATATTTTAAGTTTAACATTATGAACCTTAATTTTATTACAAATCGGAACAAGCAAGGTTGGAAGCCATATATTTAGTAACTTGTCTGTGAACTGTTGTCATACTCATCCAAAACTACCATAAATGCAATGATGAGCCAATGCAGCCCTGTTCTTGAAGATTCTAAGAAGCCTCCCTCTTTTATAGGCCCCTTCTTTAACCCTTCAACTCCCATGAGTGACCAAGATAGAATTTCTCCTTGCGATATTAAAACAATATGAACCAGATAGGTGATGAGAATAAAGAAAAATATCAATTTGAGGATAATTAGTTGATCCAATACTAAATTCTCTGAACTAACATTATACAAATTGTAAGGTTGACTTTAAGGAGAATTACAAATTTGATCCAGGAGTTGAAGGGTTAATAACCCAACCCCACCCTCATCTCTTTGATTCTTCTTCCTTCTTTCCCTCCCCCCTTGGAGAAACTCTAGTGTTTTTATTCATTTGGGTTTGTAATGTAACGTACCATATGTTTTACCAATAATACATTCTTTTTGTGTTTGTTTGTCCTTAAAGGATGGAATGAGCCTGCCATCTAGCTTTAACACATCTGTTGTAGTCATGCTCCAAGGAACAGGACAACTGTAAGTGTGAAGTTAAAACTCGACAAATGAGTTAAGAGAGCATTTGTAATTATTGTTACACTGTAACAGTGTTATGCTGTGTTTTATCCCCCAATACCACTTGGGGCAAAAGTGTTTAACATACAATTAGAAAGTTCCCAGAGAAGCTGGAAAGAATTGCCTCAGTTGTACATGTGTAATAATGTTTCATTTGTTTACTAGTCCTGAAACAGCGACCTACATTCAGAAACTAGAGAAGGAAAAACGAGACAAAGCAGCGGGACAGACACAGGACAACAGATCTTTTCTGGCAAAATATGTAAGTTTTTTTTTTTGCACAATGTTTTTGACAATGCTCAAAACATCTCTCTTTTGTTACAAATTAAGCTCTGACATACAGAGAATTCTACTTTGTATTGTGTTCTATAAACAAAAATTACACTTTTGACACTGCTGATCCTAGTAGTATAGAGTCTTTGTAGGTCAGTGGTAGAGTGTCGGAGTGCTAATCTGAAGGTTTGAGGTAGGATTCCATATGAGAACTCAGAATCTTTTTTTTATATCCCATCCTCATGACATGAGCTGGTCAGAAGTGAATTGCTAATCACTTCTGAACTAGTCAATCAGAATCAGCTGAAGAGCTATTCACCTGTGTGGTATATACACTAATATTTCTTGTTCGTACATATGAACATCTTACTGTATGTAAGAAAGGTTTGTTTCAAGGTTATGTCAGGATACTATTGATAGATAATCAAGTGGAATCAAGCTACATGTTTGTGCAGGTAGTTTTGTTGTGAACAGTGACAGACAATTAAAAAGACATGGAAATATCATAACTCATCACAAGTCATTTGATTTTGGAATCTTTTGAGGAGGTACAAGTACCAGGAACCCTGGTCAGAAATATTTGTTCACCTAAATATTCAAATCCCTTATTATTGCAGTGGATGTACATAGTACCTGTTGTTGTGTTAATGATGCTCACATCCCAGCAACCAGAGCAACAAGGAGAGGGAGGCAGTCAATAAACACACTTAAAGTGAACAGTAACACCTAAAAGAACACTGAGCTCCAATTCACAACTGTTTTGGTTGCCATGGCTAGTAGAGAAATTTATTTTTTAATCAACTAAATCTGATGTGATTGACAACAAACTGGAAACCTGTGTTGGGTGGTCAAGTAGCTAGCTCCAACATTTCATTAGTATCCTTACTTTTTAAGGTTTAAAGTTGAAGTGAAATGTTATTAAATTCTCTGTCCTTTTCTTTTCATGATAACAACTTGGTTTTCAGGTTGTTAGGCCTTAAGATATAACACAAACCCCAATAAAAATGATTGTTAGCTATATTGCTTACTTCTAAGACAAGTGGAGTAGTCAGTGGTGCAGCACATCGTGTGGGATTGAAAGAAAAAAACATGTCTGGGTTTTATGCCCAGTAAGTACATATTTCATGAACACAATTTTGGGGGTTATCACTGGCTCATTACAAAGAAGATAGGCCATGTCTTGTTTCTTTCTATTAATTTTTTTTCCTTTCTACTTTATCAACATTTATCAACAACTTAATAGTACTAGGAAGCAAAAGCCAATTGTTTGAGTTTATAATTTTTTTTATTCAGACTGTATTAGTACCACAGATCTAAGCTTTCACGGACAAGTTTTATCTTAGATTTGATCCACTTCTTCCTCTTCCTGACAAAGTACTACTATAATCATACCCCTAATTTATTAACAACAAAAACGTTTGATAATGATTTTATGTTGTGACCAGCACATGAAAATAAAACTGCTTGGTATCAACTTAACACAGTTGTTACTCAGGAAATGCCTATAATTATTAGTTATCCTGGTTTGGTGCAGATGTTACCTGATAATAAAAAAATATCCACTTTTATTTTGTAGCATATTACTTATAAATATGTATGTCTTATTCCCTTGAGATGATAAGAATCAGAATCTTTGATCAAATGTTGCTCAGATTGTAAGATAGTACTAAACCATTTATGATAAATTCATGCTTATTACAAGGATTTTTCTTACAGCCAAGGATTGACCACTAATACAACACAGCCTTAAAAGTTGTGCTTCCTACAATTAAACTAATTTACTAACAATATTGCTACTTTATCTAAAGAAATCTCTTCATCTTGGTCACTAATCATAAGACAATGCTAAGAACTCCTCTTTTCTTCTGAAATACTCATTAAAACGAGTTATTCCATACCTACACAAAACAAAAGAAAGGGGTTAATGTGCAAAAAGATGGCAACACAAGGCAAATCAGTGAAAGTCAAGACATTGTACTCATTCCAGCATGAGCCAAGTAAAGTTTTCATGTTACTTGAAGGAAACTAAGGCTAAGTAGATAAATGCAAATTGTATGGGTAACACAAGTCTTCTGGCCCCTTGCTTGATTCCAGGGCCAGAGATGATGAATACTTAGCAGCCTAATTAGTTCTATTTGTTTTAATGACTTAAGTCGTCAAGTGAAAATTTTTTTGTTTCAATTGCTGAGTCTTTTACTCCTAATTTTCTAAAATGTAACTTACCCTAAGAAATCAAAGTCAATAGCTGAGAAGTGTGCTTGCACCAAGGCCCACAATGACCAATAGAAATGAGCTGCCTGCAAAGCAACCAAGAAGAGAAGGTGAGGAAATACTGCTAGAACATTGATCAAAAAAACAACTAAGCTCTCATGTGTATCCTAATAAGGATAGGGTCTATGAATTGTAAATTCTTCAATTACATTCATTAAATAAGTAAACCAGAGTAGCATCAAACCATGTCTGATTGTCCACCTGGTTGTCATGTGAACTTTAATATATTTTAAGTGCACTTTTATTAAATATTTCATTTAATAATAATTTCCACTCTAAAAAAGACTTTCTCAAACAGAAATCAAGTGTTAATCCATTCAAAAACCTTGCAATGATGTGTTGGAAACTTACCACAAAATTTAATTTTCCTCACATTATCAATAATGAGCACTTTTCATTCATCTTATTTATTCTTGTCATTGTTTTTCCACCAATAACATAGCTCCATTTTCTGCATATAAACCCACATAAAACCCACAAGTCTTCCAATCACTCTGACAAAGGGCTAATGCTCGAAACATTAGCCTTCAAACACTTTATAGTGGCTAATGTACATTTTCAGCTCAGTTGTTAACACCAAATTACCTTGCTATACTCTCCCACCCACGCAGCGCCACAGTTTCTTTAGAAACTTACCCCCTTTACCACAAAATATAATTTGGCTGTATCAACTTAGCTGATTACGTGTATTGGACACAGTTAAAGGATTTCTAAAGGTGATAGTTGCCTTGTGTTACCCCCTCTGATGCAGCACCACAGTTTCTTTTACTTAGAAACTTGCCCCTGTAACTCACAAAAGAGACACGCAAGTCATTTGACTACAGTAATTTAACCTACCAGAGCAAAGTGATTGGCTTGCACATACAGCTTTTCTATTTCTGCATCAGAAATTTTAGGATTTGTCTCACCTAATTTGAAACAAAAAGAGGAAAATTGTTGAGTATATAAAAGAACCCCAACACTTTCTATAATTCTTAATTGTTACTTTTTCATAAGATTATCGTCGGCAATACTTAGACAAACAGTGATATGGTGAAGTGCATTTAAAAGTGCTGTTACTGTTCCAAACTGATCCAGCTGATTTAACTTGGGAGAAAATATAATTTTAACACCCCAAGTGATATTAATAATACTAATTTAAGAAAGGCAAGATGTGGAACATAACACCCAAATTATATGTGAATATTGCAAACAGTTCACAAATATTAATCCTAAGAATTGGCATTATGATAATAAAGCTTGGCTGCCAGGGCAACAAAACACATTGAATAAAATGATAATATTTTTAAATATGGAATAATTAATACCTACAGAATGTGTGCGCATTAATTGTGACCAGTAACAAGAAAGGTATAATTTATCATACCTACACTAAACACATCTTGCATCTTGAACTAACATCCAAAGAATTATTTAAAAATTTGGCATTAAAAAAATGTGGAAAAGATAAATAAATTAAATTCTTAAGAACATCTACACTGAGTTTGCTACAAGTTATTCATACCTCTTAATCTTGCAGCTTCTTCAAGATAAACAGCAATCCATTTTAACTGATGTTCTCTTTTGGGATATAAATTGTAATCAACCTCATCCACTCCTTGTGAAGATTAAAAAAATTACAATGTCAGAGTTTTCATTAACCCTTTACACCAACATCAGTATGCATGTTCTCCTTACTGTTCTTTATACATTTCCTAAGCTTCTAAGAAGGAGAATTTGTTTAACAAGCAAGGGCTTTATTTTGTAAGGAGAAATTAGCCACTATGAGCGAAGGGTCCTTCACTGGAGAAATACATTGCCACTGAATTAATAAAAATATTTTGTATGGTGAAGATTTGTCAAAAACAAATTGGAAAACAACTACTTTACAGGGAAATGCATAGCAGTTACAAAGGGGAATTATACATCAGATCCCTATGGTTAAATACTGGTTACACAGGGGTTTCAAAATGTTTGGATTGCAGAAGTAGGTGTCAGACTTGGCAAAAGTAGGTGGCTGTGAGAAGTTCATTGAGGGCCAAAAGGTGATTATTTTGACCAGAGTAACCAGCAACACACCATCAAGTGGCCAGAGGAATTCTGGTGGTCACTGGCATGTTTTGAAATACCCTGTTGTGGAGGTCACATGTAACATACCTGCATATTCACAGAAGTGATTTCCTATGTCGAAAGGCAAGAAGTTCATGCTGGCATACTCATAATCAATACTAAGAATAATATCTGCAATAAGTAAAATTAAATTACATATAAATAAATATAAAATCCAAGTCAAAAATGGATTTTGGTTGGCGATCACTTGATAAAGTAGAACGATCACTTCTGAGGTAATACAAAACTGTTCAAAATTGAAAATGCTACCTTTGCCACCTCACTTGAAATTTCAGCCAGCTGCCTAACTTCTTCACTTCAACCCTGTACTTCCATTACATTTATTTTTTTGCAATACTTTGTAAAAGTAAAAGAGATCTTTTGTCATAGCCTCGTCTTAACACTTAGGGAGTTGGGAGAATTCTCCAAAATTATACAAACCCTCTGCTGTATCTTGAGTTTACGTAACTGTCCAAAAATGCTCTCAGCCCCTCTCTAGTTTAGATGAAGCTACAGGTATGTAACCTTGAATATTCTTATGTTCCTTGAAAATTGTGTTCTTTCTAACCATTTTAAGCATGCATGGTTACCAAGCATATCTAATTTGCACTTTTCCTTCTGACAAAGAGCCTTAATGAAAATAAGTACAATCAAGACAGTGTTAATTTATAAACCGTAAAAAATCCAACAGTTTAATACTGACCCACCTTTATCTTTATTGTAAAGTAAATTTTTACAGAGCATGTCATTATGACAGAACACCACAGGACATTTGTGTTTTAGTAAAACACTCTTGAGGCTTTCAATCTCCTCCTTTAACTTAGCTTTGCTGGGAGCTTGCTGTTCAAACCTTTACAGAGAAACGTATTGAAATATGAATAACAAAGGAAATAAAAGAGATATTGCATGACCATGTGTGGATGCAAATTTTATCTCCTTATGTTGATGATGAATTTTGACTGGGTTTGAACATTAGATTATCCAATGAAGACTAAAGTGAGGCATTTGGACGTCAGGTGTTTTGAAACCTTGATCAGCACAAGAGGAGGAACGATGTGTTTTTGGAACTATGGTAGACACAAGAAGGAATGATGCTTTTTTAGAACCCTGATCACCACAGCAAGAGGAACAATATTTTGTTTGGAACCCTGATCAGCACAGAAGGAGGAACAATGTTTTTTTGGAACCCTGATCAGCACAAGAGGAGGAATGGTTTTTTCAAAAACTGATTGTTAAATCATTGGGGGACAATCAAATATCATCTAATTACCCTGTTTAATAATCTTTCACTTTGGAATTGAATATTTCTATAGCTTGTAAGAATTCACTTAAAATACGAGATGATTTGATTTTCGCGGTTATCAGGTGGTGGAGAGAGAGACAGACAGAGAGAGAGAGACAGGGAGAAAACTTTCTCCTGTACTACCCCCACACAGGACCCTCTTCCCTCTCTTCCCCTTACCTTTCGTTTTTCTCCGGGTCTTCAAACTTTTCGGGAAGAAGATTCAAGTATTTCATCATTCCATTGAAAAGCATTGGTTCTGCTCTATGTTTGGAATTCTCGTGATCAATTTTGATTGCGTGTAACTGAGCCGCGTGACGAGCACATAGTGAAGATATATGCGGGTCCGCAATCATATCGGTGTCGAGAACATCCCCCTCCAAAAATCCGTACGACAGACCATTCTCCAAAGTCCCGTAGACAGGGGGTCCGTAGCCCTTAGAGTGCAAAATCTGAAAGGTTTCCAGCTCTTTTTCCCGATCTATAAAAAGCTCGGTTTTATTCCCGAACAATCGGAAAAGGATCATCTCGCCGGGAGCAAGACTCGGCATATTGCAGCCCACGAGCATGTTACTGATTCCATCATTGAACTGTTTGAATTTTACTTCGTTGATGTTCCAATCTGGTCTCAACTGCCTTAGAATGGGCTTGATGCTTTCTTCGATACTTTCCGCATCTAATTTGTGCTTGAAATGGGCAATTTCCATGACGAATAACTTCTGCCTTTAAAAGATTTCCCAATTTCAGTTTATACCTTGTATAAATACCGTAGTTTTACCTTTCTCAGGCAGAACCGCTGACCAATTAAAGTCTTTTGCCTGTGCGCAGGATTTGTATATCAAGCTTGCTTACACATGCACATGAAGTACAGTTTTCAAATGTTGATTAACATTGATGAAGACCTTAAAGTAATATACAAATACAGATTGCTAAAGGTGAACTTTAAAATTTGATAAATTTCTTTTAAAACCTTAAAGTTCACGGTGATTTAGTAAACCTTGAGTTTCTGTGAGATTTCAAAGTGCCCCACCTTCCTCCCCCTCCCCCCCTTCCTCCAATACTGTGCCTCGTGGTTTTAGTGTGTTTGTATGTTCTTGTTTGTCTTCCTTTAAACGGTTTGTTTCATCACTAATTGTATATAATGAAAGCTTAGTCCATAAAAATTAACAAACGGACTCAAAGAACGTTTTTAAACCTCCTAGCCGGAATATTGTAGCCACTGCCCACAGTTCAAATTGTTGTCTCTGACTACACATTCTTGATTCCAACAGCGTATTTCCGCAACTGAATCTGTTTTCCTTTACAAAAAACATTTGTTTACTGGATCCCCATGCGGGTTAAAGGTTTGTTATTTTTTCTATTCATGAAAATTAATGACAGGAACGGAGGAAGTTTGAGTTCTCTGATTCAAAACACTGAGGAACATTAAATCTCTGATTGAAATTTCAACATGTTTAATCTATTGTTTTCGCCACTTGCGTCGAGTAAATCACATTCCTTCTGATCTTGGACGTTCAGTTACTAAAACGAAACGCGATAGTAAACGTTGTTAGCCCTTCGTCAATCGCTCTGACGAAGGGCTAACGCCCGAAATATCAGCCTTTAAACTCCTTACGGTTGTCAATTTCCGCTATCAACTCTTTGATAATACTAAATTACCCCATTGTACAAGCAGCATGATTGGTTCTCAACTATGATCCATTGGAGTACAGACACCTACATGGCGTCACCATTGAGGACTTCTGCTCATTCATTATATTTAACAAATAGATCCCAGGCTACTGTGCGGCACTGAGAAGCAAAGTGTTGCACACAGTGACGTCTGGCCTCCAGTAGATCGTCATATCAAACTAGAACCAAATTTGTGTCCAAAAAGGAACTGACTTGTTTTTATCCATAATCTCACTTTATAGTTTATATATTTTTTTAATCATTCTGCAGATAACAATACAAACAATGTCATAATTAATTAATATAAATTGTATTTATACTAAGGGAAAGTGTTATGAGTACCAAACTGTGAGTAAAGCAGGCTTCAGTTTTTATTCTGGCCCTGGATAGTCCCAAAATGTTTTCATCTTCTGCTTCACTGCAACGAAATTATTTTTCCATTATTTTATATCTCATGAAACTTGTTTTAAAACGCTGTTTTTGTGGAATCATGGAGGTTGTGATTTTGTTTTCTGTAATCTATAAATAAACAACAGCCTCAAATTGTAACTTAAAACTGTGATACATCTAGGTAACCAGAGAATCGATTTTTCTCTACCATTTAAAATGTATCTCTATGAAGCACCAGAACAACATTTTGGGACCCATTTACCTTCACACTTAACAAGGTGTGCACAGCAGGTACGGTGATCACAATGTTTACATTGCTTGGTGCAGGTCTTGATTGTGTGACCTGGACTGGAACAGTTACTGCATTTGTAATTCTGTTTCACCCTCTCATACCCTGCTGCTTCCAAAAATTGAATTCTGTATTTCTTTAAGAGAAGCTGTCGCAAAGCAGAAATTCCTCTGTGGTTAGAGGATCTAAAGTAATTCTTAGAAGCTACATCATTATATTTCTCCATACCCTGCTGATTAAAATATGCAATGTTTTTATACAACTTTAAAAACTCAGGAACATGAAAATATAGGGCATGCATATATGGTGTGATATCTTTGGCTTGGTATAGAGACAAGAAAATCTTAAACCATCCCTCAATTTTTTTCTTTAAGGTGATCAATTGACTGATCTGTTGGAAAATCAAGTTTTAAATCACCAATGATGTCCATGAACCCACCCCATAGTAACTGAAGCTTTTCTGAATTGTTGTAACCAGGCAAAAGAGAAGAGAACTGAATATTTTGCATGACCTTTAGTTTTTCAGGACCCGTGAGATCTCTATAGTCCAGTTTTTTTGTGTTTTGTTTATTCTCCACTCAAAAGAAATGCCAAGGGTTTTGAGAAACGTTTCATATGCTGCCATATGTTTAAATTTCTCTCGAGAAAAACCATTGTGAAATGTTGTTATCTTCTCACAAGCATCCTTTCTCCTTAATTCCCTGATTAAAAGTTCTGTTAAATTATCTGATATGCGGAGAAATAAATGTAAGGTATCAATAATGACATGATCAATTGGTATGAAATTAAATAATGGAGTTGCTTTGCAATTAAACTTTTTTGATTTGGCAAAGCTTGAAATTTCCTCCAGTGATCTGGCACCCTGAGCACTGTTAGAAAGTGACCATACCCTTTGGATGTCATGTCTCTGGTTGCGAGGGCATTTGCACCAGATACAGGCGTAGTCTTGGTTAGCAGCCCCCAACCCACAGACACATGCCAGGAACTTCCAATCCCCACCGAGAAAGTATTCAATATTATAGGTTTTACCCTCAACTGTTACCTTATTTAATTTCGACATTTCTTGTGTTAAATCAGAGAGACTTTCCTTCAGATTGTCATAGTTTTCACTTGTCTTGAGTATAGCCAGAACATAATTGCCCTTCTCACTCATTGCAGCCTCTTTCTCATTTAAAATTGTATATGTTACATTTACTAGCTTAAGTCTTTTTCCAATGTTTGTGCCATCTCCACTTATCTTCACCCCAATGGTATCTCCTTCTAAATCTCCTTTCCTTTGTAAGTTGGTAATTTGTTCCTTGAGGCTTTCTTTGAAGCTGATTTGCACCCCTTCTGCTTGACCAGGGGTATCTCTTATTTTCCATTGCTGGTTTAATTCATTTATCTTTCGAGTTGTCTTGTAAGTATTTGGTATTGTTTTAGATCTCAATGCCATTTCATGCCATGCATCATTGGAAATATTGAATTTGTCCTTGATGTAAATCCAGTAGTTGATGTCATCAGCCTGGGTGTCAGTTATTTCATTTCCCTCAGTGTCCGATTGTTGCATTTGTTCCTCATCAATTAAGTTAAAAGTGTCATACTGTTCTGTGTCAGTGTTAAACACTTCAACTTTGGTGGCCATAAAATTGTACAATCCAAGGAAAGTAAGAGTGGCCTGACATTCCTCTTTCATTTTATTTTTAATCCTGCTTTGGTGCTGCTTTGAATACTCAGCAAATGACTTTTTTTCAGGGCCCCTAATTCCTTTCTTGTTCTTCTTCTCAACTTTTTTAACAAGACTTTGAAACCTTTTTTTCAGATAATTGCAGCTCCTCTCTGTGTCGCCGAGTTTTTTCTCGAGTTTCTGTCGCTTAGTTGTTTCATTCGCTAAAGATTCTTCCAGTGTTCGTTTCTTCCCTCGTAAATCCTGATTCTCCTTTTCGATAACGTATTTGTGAAGTTCGTGATAAAATATCTTCACCTCATAAGTTTGGTCACGCCATTTGTTTATGATTCTTTTGACACCGAAACCTCCACTTTTCTTCTTGACTCTTTTGAGTTCGGCACACAGAGACCCAATCTTTTTCCGAACGACATTTATTATTCTCTTGTTCACAACAACACCGCGAATGCCCGTTTCTTGAAAGATCTTCTCCACGATTGCAGCGAAGGCAGACTCGCCACTACCCTCTTCATTCTCTTTGGCAATTGTGTAGAGGAAATAGCTGAAAGTTGGATAAAACGACTGGGATAAGATATATGCGAGACTATTAGCAATGAAAATTTAATTCATTAGTTGGTGTCCGGAAAAAATGGAGACAGTTAATTTTTAAGTTCTTATTAATAACTTACTTGTTGATACTGCATGTGAAGAAAGGTGGCGGATGGCCCGCAAATCCATTATTTTGATCTTCCGATCCATCTCCCACAGCCTTCACGGATCCGCAGAAAGCGAATAATAGGAACACCAGAAGTCCTCCAACTTTAACGGAGATTTGACCCATCCAAAATACTCGAAAACAAGCCGAATTATATACCACGTAGAAGAGTACGGACCCATTGTTTTCACACTGGCGTGAAATGACCTTTGATCGTCTTTAAATATTGCGCAAACTTGATTTGAAAACTTGGATTTTGACCCATTAAATCTTAAGATTTTGGTATTTTAAAACGTCTTATACAATAGCTTTAATATTTATTTTTTTTAATTCGTTGGTAAAACTGATCGCCGTTAAAATGTTTTTGAGTAATCTTGTAAAATGTTTCAAATCTTAGGCGTTCTTGAGTCAGACATTGGTGGGGGCGTGATCGCCGGAACTTGATAGAAGCTTTTGTTAACACTGAGTTTGATATGCATGTATAATTCAGTTTATTGATTGTCTTGGTCAGGCTATTGTGTCAGCTAGTCATATATATTTGCTAGTTTGCATGAATCTAATAAAAAAAATAATAATAATAAAAAAAACCGACTTGAAACAATGTTCCCTACTTGATATTTCTCACCATTCTACTCGTCACCTGTTTGCTTGACACTGTTTTGATATTGTAAAGAGAAATGACATACCGATCATCCCTGGAATATCCTGGAAGTTTAAGGTTTATGGACAAGAGGGGATAAAGAATTCGAAAATAGAACATTTAGCTCTGTTGACCCTTAAAAAATTTGGTAAAAAAAACTTGATATTATATCAAGATAAAGCCCTATAGCTGGATGAAGATTGCGTGGAGAAATTACAATCGAACCTTTATTAAGCGCTCACTACGGGAAATGGCGCGGTGAACGTTTAAAACAGGTTGACCGTTTGTTAAAGTTTTCACAGATTAGGGGTATTATTAAAAAAAATATTTACAACGCCACCTTATACCATAATTGACCACTTAATGTACATCGCTCATAGAACTACTTACTCAGATTTTGGGAGAGAAACATGGATTCAAAATTACTTGAAAGATTATTTTTAGTAATATTTGAGTGGTTTTGTTGTCAATGACCGTTCTATACAGGTGGAAAACAAATATAAAGCCCGTTGGGACTTCGTGAAGGGTAACCGCGACCGCTTTATAAAAGTGAAAATGTCAGTGATTATAGAAATCAAATTTGGGACTTTGATAACTAACTGCTTAATACAAGGCGACCGCTTAATGCGGTGCTGCTTAATAAGGGTTCGACTGTACTTGTTAATTAGAGAGTTGAAAAGCTGGATTTTGGCTCGTGTACTAAGCAGAATTGAATTTACGTCAGACCTTGATTTCATTTACACATCAAAAGGTTAAAAAAGTGTAAGCTACAATCCCCTTACGTTTCCATAATAACTCGAGGCAGTCAGATGAATGTAAAAAAAAAAAAATTTTAAAATCTGTCAACGTCGAAAACATTAAAAAGTTCGCAAAGACGACTGTTTTATTTTCGACATCCTTGTCCTATAAAATGCCAAAACTGTTAACCGGCCGGAAAGTGTTTTGTTTTCATTCTTTTTTTTAATTTCCGTTTCCTATATGTAAGCTGAACTACAAGTTTAGCGTAACAATATCGGTTTTAAACTTCACTGTAAACAATTTGTAAAACTAAGCATGGAAAGGATATGGAACATTGAGTCTGCAAAATAGATAAAAGTCACTATTAAGTCAAATTCTTTGCCAATCGTGCGATAACGCCGTCGCCAACACTGTGTCACAGCGAGGGGCAAGCCGTCATGCTTCGCGCACTCCTCACATATCACGTTTCTGGTTTAGCTGAGAACAATAATTGAGCTTGAAAAACGCACCAGTTATGAAATATTTAAAAGTGCGGCTATCGAGGACGGCATTTTTAAAGTTCCTTTTATCGATGAATTTCTTTTGTTTTAAAACAAAACAAAGATACTTTAATATCAATGTGTCGGATGAGGAGTTTAAATCAAACAAAGAACGCACAAAAATGCGAAAACTGCGTGGCAGAGGAGACATTCATGTTTTATCTCATAGAACTCGATAACTGAGGGGATCTAACTTGCTCGTTGCTATAATGGAGAGAAGATACTTTTGCCTTTGAGCTTTGTTCATCCAAAATACACCGTGCGTTAGTTCTGCCACGATCACACAATAAAGGCACTCAGGATGGGAAGAGAGCAGAAAAAATATGATTCTTTCTTAAACCTTAGAAAGGACCGGTGAACAACCTGCAAGTGAAACTCTGGTGATATACATTTCTGCGCGCTTGTTCCCAGGTGGTCGACAAACCAAGACAGGAAATGGGAAAATTTTTAATATTCGGTCTCTTACTGCTGTCAAGCAGAAAAATTTATACCTGTCGCATTTGATATACATCTAGCAACGCGCCGATGAGCTAAAGAACAGTTTGTTTTTTTTACATGTGTAAGAAGATCGCAACAGCACTTCCGAGAAGCCGCAATGCTTTGAAACCATTGGCTCGGCCAGCCTACCTCCCGCCAAATTAATAACTTTGTGTTGACTGAATGCTCAGCAGTTGACAGCTAGCCTCCCGGGGCGATAATTTATTCTCAAGGTTCGTTGTAAACAAAACGCAATATCTCCCAGAGTGAGAGAAAGATTTTGAATATGCCTGTCGAGCTCTCAGCGTTATTGTGTTTAATTCGTAGCAATTTGCGGCTAAAAGGTCTTTAAACACAGGCCGTGATAGATGGATTTGTGATAAAATCTCGCCGCGACGACAAATACAAAAAGGTTGCCCGTCGCGCATTTGGTGGGCGGTGAGGCCCGGAAGCCGAAAGGAGTGATATCGAATTGCTCTAAAATGCACCCCCGTTGGTCAAATATGTTGCGTGTGTCGCGACAATTACTCGCGAGTCACGCGATCATTTCGTGGATACGAACAAGTGATATCTAACTTTTTACCGCTAAATATTATAGAACATTGTTTCTACCATCTTCCGCTGGAATTTTCGTTTAGTTTTTGGCAAAGCACAAGCCGCAACGAACGCGCGTGATAACCTGCAATGAACGCGCGCGCATTGCTTATCGGTTCATTTCTCTTTGCTTCACCGATATGTTTAAAATTATCTCAGTTTTCTTGTAATTTAATTGTTAAACTCGATTATACCCAGAATACGTTGGTAATGAAAAGGTCAAAAGGTGCGAATACTATTTAATAGGACAGGCCGTATTTTATTTCTCTTTAAAAGGACAAAGTAGTGGTGGTTATGTCGTAAGTCGCTATTTGCTTCTTTCCTTCAGACAATTTGGCCTGTAAATTCTTGATTATAGAAATATTCATAATCAAGTATTTACAGGCCAAATTGTAGAATTGAAGTACCCGAACCAGTTAAACAAAGAACTCTGTGAAACTAGAATTAAATCGAGCTGGATTTGTTGGTCCATGTTCCCTCCTAGACCAGCCTCCAAGTCTGCTTATTTATCGTCCATTTACAAGTGAGATAAACCGCGATGGAGTTCAAGTCTTACAGGTTCGATTTTCCTTCGCCATATCAGTCAGTGAAGCCTTACTCGTGCAAAAAGGGCTCTTGTGGAATAACAGAAAATAAGTTCGTTCAATTTGACAGAGAGGTTCTCAAAGAATCATCCAATAGACCGATAAAATTTTTGCGATATTCCCGTGTCCACATATTCGTGAATGTCTTGAATAAATCACAGATAGCAAATAAAGTTTGTTTTACTTATTACATCTTAAAGGGAAGGTTTTTAGAAAAAATATCAAAATGCGATTTTATAGCGTTATTTTCAGGGTAAATAAATCACACAATGAAAGAGGAACTTTGGAATTGATTCATTTACTGTACACTTCAAACTTTAAAAGTAATTTTAAAATTTGTGTTCTTATTCTCGTCCCGCTAGAAAATTACAGAAAATTGTCAAAGAATCAGCCTACACATAGTCGGCTCAGCGCTTAATTTCTCAAGAATTTTATCCGAAATTATGTTCGATCATAATTTTTGTCCCGAGAGGAACGATGATGTAAAGGTTCCTGAAAGGAAATGAAAAACATGACACTAGCTTAGTGAAGATACACCTTGTGACGACTAAAAAAAAAAGAGATTTTGAAATTAAATTCAAAACATCCTCTTAGACGATCGGGTTCAAAACAGCTGAAAGATAAAATGAAGTTCTTGCAAAAATTTGACAACATGACCTGCCTCTGTGAAAGAAGGAGTTTGTATTAACCTGAGTCGCATTTACAAATCAAAGCTGCATTGAATCAGGCAGATTCTGCAGCTTCGTAGTCACTAAGATTTCAAAGGCTTAAAACACAAACAAGTAGTTCTAGGGTTTCATATCCTAACTTGTTCAAAGGGAAAACAAATGTAACCTGTACCAAGTGTTTTGAATTTTTCACATTGAGGAGATATGTTTGACAACAGCAATACCCGCCGACGGACTTCCGGATCTGAAAAAAAATTCCTTTTGTATTTCCTTAACGAAACAAGAACGAGAAAATTATTGATTTATGATATCTCGCTATTTCCAAATGTCTCTTGGCAATGGAGTGTATTTTAAAGTAGTTTCCTGTGTTTATATATCGGTTCGTTGTCGGAACAGGCCTGGTGGACTACCCAGCGCAATTCCATGAACCATCTTAAAGTGTTCTTCAGATCTTAAGCCATGAACCTTCATGTGTTTTCTTAAAGAGCTAGGATGTGTGTAACTTTTGTCGCAACCAATGTACTTACACCGATATGGTTTTTCCAATGTGTGAACGTGAATGTGTTTGCGGCGATCACTTGAGTTCGCAAATCGTTTATCACAGCCTTTGAATTCGCACGCGAACGGCCTCTCGCCCGTATGCGTACGAACGTGTATTTTCAAATTCTCTGCGCGTGCGAAGCTCTTCCTACAGCCCGGCTGATTGCACATGAAAGGCTTCTCGCCCGTGTGAACTCTAATGTGGTTGATTAGCTTGTACTTAGCCTTGAATGGCAGTCCATTTCTCATGCATTCTTTCCAACAACAGACGAAACCAACAGGCGTGGCAGAGACAAGATGAACGTCGGTGATATGCGTTACAAGGTCCTCTATGCGATAAAATCCT